CAATTAGAATAGTTTGTTAAAGTTAAACTCAAACTGCCTGTTTGCTTTTTATTTATAGGAAAATAAGAGGATTTTCAACATGTGTCTTATACATCAACACAATTTTCTTACAGAATCAAAGATTTAATTATTTGTCCATCCATCCATTTTCTTCCGCCTATCCGGAGTCAGATTGCAGGGGCAGTAGCCTATGCCGAAAGGCCAAGCCTTCCCTCTCCCCAGCCACTTGGGCCAGCTCTTCTGGGGGAATCCCAAGGCGTTCCCTGGCCAGGTGAGAGACATTGTCCCTCCAATGTGTCCTGGGTCTTCCTTTAGGCCTCCTCCTGGTTGGACGTGCCCAGAAAACCTCGCCAGGGAGGCGTCCAGGAGGCATCCTGACCAGATGCCTGAGCCACCTCATCTGGCTCCTCTCGATGTGGAGGAGCAGCGAATCAACTCCGAGCCCCTCCCAGATGACTGAGCTTCTCACCCTATCTCTAAGGAAGAGTCCAGCCACTCTGCGGAGAAAACTCATTTCAGTCGCTTGTATCCGCGATCTCGTTCTTTCAGTCACTACCCAAAGCTCATGACCATAGGTGAGGGTAGGAACGTAGATCGACCGCTAAATCGAGAGCTTCGCCTTCTGACTCAGCTCTCTCTTCACAACAGACCGGTACAACACCCGCATTACTGCAGATGCAGCACCAGTCCACCTATCCATCTCACGCTCTAGCTTTCCCTCACTCATGAACAAGACCCCGAGATACTTAAACTCCTCCACTTGAGGCAGGACCTCATCCCTGACTCGGAGAAGGCATTCTACCCTTTTCTGATTCATGACCATGGTCTGAGCTTTAGAGGAGCTGACTGTCATCCCAGCTGCTTCACACTGGGCTGCAAACCGCATTATTTGTTTTACTGTAATATATTTTCAAGCATCAAGATAAATCTGAGGTCTGTAATTTACAAGTTACTATCTGATAAATGTGATTTAACAAGAATTTTCTTCAGTATTTTGATTAATTTGACAATTTGCCGAAATAAAAAATCTAAATGGTTTATGTCTTTATAGTCAGAGTTTAAAATGACATAAATCAAGAAGAAGAAGAAACTGGAACCCATAATTAACATTACAAAGCAGTTTTATTCTCCTCATCCTATTCGTGGCACCAAATGTGTCACGCGATTGGCTTTTAAGTCATGTTGATGGTCTCGTAGATGGTGCGTGAGGTCAGGTCCTGCAGAACATTAAAAAAACACTCAGAAACAGAAGTTACAAAAGAAACTTTCATCATTTCCTGCAGTGAGTCAAATGATATTGTGAGACAGAAGCAGCATTAGAGTAATTTACAGAAAAATGGTCCTTTCAGCTTCTGTTAAGCTTGCTGTCGCTTTTCCCTCATGTGCCATTTTAAACATTAGAATAAGAAGTCTCACCTCGTAGATGCTTCCCCCTGCAGGCCGTTTCTGTGGGAGGAAAACACAAACATCATCAAGAACATTTAGCTACTTTTTTAGTTGAAGGAAATTGCATAAACAGAGTCCTATGAAGAATTTAACTGCATTTTATGTTATTTTCCATTTAATTTTACTAAACTAATATTTAAATGAACATCTGATCATGATTAGCCAGAAAAATTGTTCTTTGCTCATTCGATGAATTAGATTTTTACCTGTGAGGCCGGCTGTAAAATGGGCCATGATGATTAGGTCTTTGCCCCCGTTTGGGAGTATCTTGTTCCAGGTGACCTGCACCACCTGGTGGTTCCCAGAATATCTAAAATTAGGATGGGAGGCAGATCTTTTAGTTATCAGGCTCCTCTCCTGTGGAACCAGCTCACAGCTTTAGTCCGTGAGGCAGACACTTTGTCTACTTTTAAGAATAGGCTTAAAACATTTTTATTTGATAGGGCCTGTGGTTAAAATCTGATGTTAGCCTAGATCTGGACAAGTGGGGGATTAGAGGGAGGTGGAGTGTACAGTCGTAAAAGACGGCTCTCCCTTGCCCTGACTCCAACATGCCTCCATCTAAATAGGATAAATTATCCTGTGTTATCTCTGTAGTTATGCTGCTATAGGCTTAGACTGCTGGAGGATACACTGACCACTTTCCACACTCGACTACTTTCTTCTACAGTCTGCTCTTTAACTGTATTATTTCCTGCAATTTCAGCTGTTAACTTTATTTTCTCTTAAGTGTTTTTCTCCCCAGAAGAAGCTACAATGATGTTCTGCTGAGCTGTGGTGGCCTCATGGAGGGGGCCATCGACTAACACACTGCTGCTAATCACTAATACATTCTCTCTCTCCTGATAATAACTTTTTGCTTTCCTTGACACTGAATGTGCTACTGCTAGTTTACACGTTTAATTATAGATTCACTAGGATAAATACAATAAAGTTTATCTCTCACCAAATAGAATATTTACTAAGACATCACAATGTAACCATAGAAACACTACTTGGTATGTATGTTGTATGTGTGTGTGTGTGTGTGTGTGTGTGTGTGTGTGTGTGTGTGTGTGTGTGTGTGTGTGTGTGTGTGTGAGAAAGAGAGAGAGAGAGAGAGAGAGAGAGAGAGAGAGAGAGAGAGAGAGAGAGAGAGAGAGAGAGAGAGAGAGAGAGAGAGATGACATTTTCTCAATTCCAGGCCTGGAGGGCTGGTATCCAGCATGTTTTAGTGTTTTTTCTGCTCCAACACACTTGATCCAGTGGTTGAATCACCTGTTCAGCAGCTCATCAGGATCTGCAGAAGCCTGTTAATCACCTGCTGACTGAAATCAGGTGTGTTGAAGCAGAGTTAAAACTAAAACCTGCTGGACACCGGCCCTCCAGGCCCAGAATGGAGTAACCCTGTTCTACAGTGAATTTCAAGCCAAAGGTGCTGAGTGATAAAAACTCTTTTACCAAGCTCAGTTTGTACAAATAGAACAACAAGTCATCTATTAAACCAAAAACCACTTCTCGTTTATTTTCTTCACTGATCCCAAAAAAAGACATTTTTATGGTATAATATTTAAAGTAAATTTAAAATGAACTCACCTGTTAGTAAAAGCAGAGTGAGGAATTTCATGAGTCCTGACTGAATTCATCTTTAGCCTAAAAGATACAAAGTTTTGTCCTAAAGTCTTTGTGTTATAAATTTGTCCTCGACAAAAATAATCTGGCCTCATGAGCCACAATTTCTATTTCAGACATATTTTACTTTTGAACAGAACTGAATAATTTGACCAGTAAAACATCAGCTCTTTTAAGAGATCTGTTTTCCTCTGACAAATAAGTGACTACAGTTACTTTCATATTCTCATCAGACTCCGCCTCTATTTATTATTGTGATTACAGTTTTTCTCAATTGCTAAAACACTAAAATCCATTGACTGAAGAAAGTTCTCAGTTGCTTGAACTGATTAAGCTAACTGTTGAGCCTGTTGTCAAAACCTTAAACAATTTCACACATTTTAGCAAAACTCTAAACGCATTCTCATTCATAAAACACATTCTGCACTCTAATGTACATGTCATCCATAACGGTAAACACAAGTGGCACACATTTACCCATAACAAGAGCACAAATGTCATTGAACACAATCAGTCAAAATAGATTTCACTTGTTTCAAATGATGTGACAACCAATATAAGCGAGTTCAGAGAGCAAACAGGTTGTTGAAGGTGGGAATGAGAAAGTGTGACAATGGATAGAAGAATTCATGTGAGAGGACGAGGACGGGTGCGTATGCGAGGTGGGGGATGAGGAAGAGGGCAAGAAAGAGAAAGAGGAGGATGAAGAGGAAGAGGAAGAGCAAGACAAAAAGTGGAAATGTCCAATGAAGTTTGAGCAACAATCATAGACCATGTTGTTGTCCATGGGCTGACATTGAGGGAAGCAGGACTTTTTAACCAGATCCTAAAATAAAAGGAATATAAACAACCTTTATCTCTAGAACAGCAGTGAGTTAATAAACTTGAAAATAAACTAGAAAGTACTGTGGTGTACTGTAAGTTTAAATGAATCCCTTCAATAAAAAAATGGGATTTAATTGTTAGAAAATGTAAAGTTTCTTTGAAGGCTGAGCAGAAAAAAGAAAACAGGAACAGGAACAGAAACTTACGGTATGTCCAGACTTCTCCTTTTCTTTAAAACTTCAGCTTAAAACCAGCTGTGAAGCAAAGGAAAACTAAAACATGAAGAAAAAACTCACTGGCAGTCTTATTAGTAAACCGAAAAAATATTTGAGAACGTAGAATTGTGAGTCTGACCAGGTGATCAGCAACACAAGAGCACCACAGGGCATGGTACTCTCACCGCTTCTTTTCCCTCTGCACACTCCAGGCTTCAAGAACAAGTCATCTGTCTTCTGCAGAAACGTTCAGACAACTCTGCAATCGTCACGTTTATCAGAGAGGGTCAAGAAACTGAGAAGCTGGAGGAGCGCTTTGTAGCATGGTGTGAGAGCAATCACCCAGTAATGTGAACAAAACAAAAATGATTGTAGATTTCAGAAGAAACAGGAAAAGGTGAAGCTCTTTTAACACCATGTGAGAGGAAGTTGAGGTGGTGGAAGGGTATAAATATAAATAAATAACAGACTGGCCTGGACATGAACAGTGAAGTCATATATGTACAAGAAGGTACAGAGTAGACTGTACGTCTTGAGGAAGCTCATGTCCTTCAAGGGATGCAGCACGAGGCTGCACATCTTCTATACATCTGCGTTGGGAGAGTGTGAGTATCACCTGCTGGGGCAGCAGCGCCAGAGCCAGGGTCCTAAAAAGGCTCAACAACCTGGTAAAGAAAGGCCAGTGCTGTTCTGGGGACTACTGTGGAACCACTGGAGATGATGCTGCAAAGAAGAATTATTCCTGAAATCATAAAACAATGGACAACCCCGAGCATCCTCTTCATGACATCATCATGCAACAAGAGCATCTTTAGTCGGAGGCTTCTTCAGACCACTACAGCAGACCCTTCTTTCTTGAAGCCTTCAGCATCTTTATCGATTCTTTAAAGATCAACTGAGATATTTATTATTAATGTTGTTTATTTAATTATTGCTTTGAAGAACGAGTTACAAACACTTAATTTCCCTCTGGGATTAAAAAAGTATTTTTGAATTTCATTTAGCCACCTCAACATTCTGTGCATGCAAAATAAAGTTTCTACAAAAAGAAGAAAAAACAAACTCTGAAACATAATTTACAATATAAGGCAGTTTTCTCTGCTCAGCATCCTGACGGCACCAAATACGTCACGCAAACGGCTTTTTAGTCATGTTGATGGTATCGTAGGTGTCAGCGGTGCGAGAGGTCAGGTCCTGCAGGACATAAAAAGACACTCAGACAGAAGTGAAGCTAAAAAACAACTTTCTCCATTCATTTCCTGCAACAAGTCTGAGTGTGATTGTGTTAGAGCCAACTGCATTAGATACATTTACAACAAAATGGTCTTTTACTATCCAAGTGCCTTTGTACGTGTCTTTTTAAACAATACAATGAGAAGTCTCACCTCATAGATGCGTCCTCCTGCAGGCTGCTTCTGTGGGATGGAAACAAAAACATCAAAAACATTTAGCTGCTGTTATGTCTGTAAAATTTACAGAAATCTCCATAGAAAGCCTTCTAGAGAAATAACTGTATTTAATGTCATTTATCAAGTTTTTTACGGTGAAGGAGCACAAAAACAACACCAGGAAGAAGAATTTGACTCTAGTGGAAACTTCCGAGGGTGAAAATAAATAAACGTTGGTTGGTGGTCAGCTTTGAGCAAACAGGAAATGAATTACTGAGGTTACGTTTTTACCTAGAACTTTTGTTTGAGGGGCCAAATACCACAAAACCAGCTCAACGCTTCTCTTCAAAAGAAAACTACTTTTTTGTTACCTCAGGATAACTGCAACTCGTCTTGCTGGATCGATACATCTAAAGAAGACATGAGAGGTTTTAAAAAGTTGTTTAACAATACTAGAATTAAAAAACTATTTTTCGTCTTACCCTCAGCCTGCAGTACAAGATGGTGAGAATGACGCCGTACAGGATGAGAACCCCATCCAAGATGTAACAGATACTCATCTCTACCAAAGGCATCTGCACATACAAGACTCATCAGACTACTCCTCATCGATGGTCATCCTCACCTCCAGCGAAGCCGTGAACGTCTCATACATCCACAGATGTTTTTAAAAAGTTCTGATCGGAGATCTCAGAGGAAGAACTCACCAGATGAAAGCTGCTTATTTGGAGTTTCTGTCTTAGCCCGTCTTTGATGAGGCACAAAGAGTGACTAAACAGGAAGTGAAGGGCTCTCTGTCCGATCTGAAGCTGTAAAAACCCACACGCTTACCACATCATCACCCTCCTTTCTTAGGAAGTTCTTCTAAAACCTTTAAAGCTTTTTCAGAGTGATGACACCTTTTCACAACCGGATTTCAGTAGAAAAGAAACCACCCATCAGTAAAAATGTCAGAAATGTCCAAATTCTGGATGCCAAAGAGAGGAGATCTAGGGAATAAATGGTTTAATGATAGAAAAATGACTAACACACTAAACAAGCTACAGTTACAAAACAGGAGGAACACATATCTACATTTCGTGTCATTTACAAACCACTTTTCTTTTTCTTTAGGTAAAAACATTCAGAAACATTTGCATCGTCATAACTTAGGCACCTTAAAATGATAGAAAACTAGTTATTTAAAAAACAAACTATTCTGAGCCCAAAAATGAGTCCGTGCATGATTTCTTTTTAAAAAATGGTGATCCGCCAGATGAGAACACGCTTTGGGTTTGACGTTTCAGACATGCAAGGGACATTCTTTCAGTTTTTTAAACCACATCCACTGGAGTGAGTTAAACAGTCGAGTTGTGGGATTAATGCAACAAATTTCCTCACATATCAACACCCTGGGAGTGTTTCAACCAGCAGAAACAGGAGTCTGATGCTCCTCCACGTCTGCAGAATAAGGCCAAAGAAGTCAGCTGCTGCTGCAGAAAGTTACAATCAGATGTCTGGTTTGGGAATTTTTTTGCATTAAATATAAAACAGGTTCAAGTGAGTGACCGGATGATGCAAAGCAGCTGAAGCAGGGCTGATTTCTTCGTATAGAATTGTTTAACAACCGTTTACTGCTGTCGGTTTAAATTATAGCCATAGATTTAGCCCTTCAACAATGACATTTTAACTTCATACATACTGAAGATGTTTAAATCTAACAAAGATGTTTTCAGACAGAAAATGTTTTTTAGTTAGAAAACTTAAATAGCACTGGTCGGCCGCATCTTATTTTCAAAACAAGGATTTAGGTTCAAAAGTTTTCTGGACCGTCTTTTCCTCATGATTTCTTGCATACTTCTGACAAAACCAAAATCAAAGAAATTATTAAAAGCATCAGATTTTATGACCTTAAAACCTATAAAATTGTGTGATTGATCATATTTTTCAGTAAGGACACCCTATTGCTGATATTTCATATTTAAATAATGAAAAAACAGCAAAATGGCCCAAAAATGGAACAGAGTTTTCAAAACTTCCTCCAAAACAAAAACTTCATTCCTTTAAGCAAAACTTAATAGCTTGGATCAGGATGTTTTTATTTAGGGTGGAAACATCCAATTCCTCTAACAGTGAAACAAAAGAGAAAAAACTAAAAGTCGAATCGGAGCTCTGCTTCTGGATATTCATCTGAAGGAGGCGGGGCTACAGATGCAGGGCTGCAGCACAGCAGAGGGATGTGCAGCAGGTTTAAATGATACATGTGGTTTTAAAAAATTAACTTTTTTTTGCAGCATTCTGAAGCTTTTTATTTGCTTTAAATAGCAGCAAGATTCATGTCGAGCAGATTGGTTGTTGTTTTTTTGCATTAAACTGTTTTGTTTTATTTTCATACAGTCAACAATTTCCACTCAAGAGCAATTCTGTCAAGTTCTCTTGTGCCTTTACAGCCCAATTTAGATTACTCCTCCATTCTATTAATTTAGAGTTCGACTCGGCAGCTATGAATAGCCTCTAGTAACCAGATAACTTAAAATTTTTGTGCAATTTTAGAGAAAATTTTTGGGTAATGCTTATTTACTTGGAAGGATTTGTTAACAATAAGAAAATACTGAACAAACCAGGTTAGATTTTCTAATCTTTATCTAAATAAAATGAAAACATTACATAAATACCAGCTGAAAATGTGTCGTGTTCCTGCTAATACGGATCCTATGAGCAAAAACTAATAACGCCATTGTAATTTACCGAAAGCTGCATGTTTAAAAACCCATCACGAGTCTGGAGTAGCAAAAAGTTAAGGAATGTAAAATCCTTTCTTCTTTACAATCACATAAAAAATGACTCACAGCACATAATGCTACATTCTGTAGGTGGAAAATGAAGTCTGTCTCGGATATAAAACCAGGTTTGTGTTGATAAAAAAAGGAAAGAACACAGAAGGAGAGGCAGAAAGCAGCAACGCGTCAGCGCCGCAGGTTGGGCCGAGCTCCAGTCTGAAACAGGAAGTGACAGCTATGATGTAACCTCCACTTCCTCTGATGTTTGTGTTGAGTCAGCACAGCAACAATGTTCAGTGGCTACAGCAAAATAAAAAGCTGATTTAAAGCCCCCTTTAGGACTTTTAAAATTTTGAACAGCGTTTGATGAAAACGTCGAGCCCTCTGTCCGTTTCCAGAGTTTGAAAAATCATCAAGCCGATCACAGTTTGACACGATAACATCTGAGGATGTCCTCGCCTCACACCGAGGTCTCCGACTGCAGCCTCATGACAAACTTGTGGCTCTTTGGGTCGATGAATTCCTCCCCAAGCCGGAGGAAGGGGAGAGGTGTCACCGTGACAACCAGGGAGAAGTCCAGGCGTCGCAGTGAGAAGACCAAACCCTGACGTAGAGCTGAGGTCACGGGCTCCTCGCTCACCAGAGTCCACTGGCGCCCCCTGCCGTTCTGCTGCTGGTACTGCATGGTGGGACCGGAGGTCAGGTATCGCTCCAGGAAGGCCTTAGGAGGAAGAGGAGGGTTAATCACCAAGGAAACAGTTTTGTTTATCTGATGCTGGAAAGTGCAAGAACTAAACTCAAGTATGAGGAAGTTAGGCTTGAAAATTAACAAATTATTTCTGATTTTTCCACTTTAAATGTGTTTTAAACTTAGGTTGCATCCAAACATAGGCAAAGATATAAAAAACATTTGTATTATCTCCAGACTCACAGTTATGTAAACTTTTCCAATATTGTGTAGAAATACTTTTTCAAAAGTGCTAAATCCTGAATGCATGTTTTATTCAAAACAGCATTCCTAATATCAGAGTGTTTATTTGGTGCAGATGACGTTTTGTTTATCTGTAAATAAAAAAAGACTGGCTCACCTTTGGCGTCATGTTGTGTGTGATGCAGAACTGCAGGTGTGTGAGGATGCTCTCCATGCTGTGGAAGCCCTGCTGCCGTGTGGTTCTGAGGTATTTTTGCATGGCCCGAGCCATCGGGGCAAAGATTGCCTGAGCTGCCTCCCGGGGGTCCATCACCTCTCTGGGGTGTTTCGGAGACGAGGCAGCCTCGTCTTCGTGGAGACGCTTGATGTGTGTGAAGGCCTCCTCCACGGCCACAACCAGCCTACAGCAAGAGAGAACTTCAGCTTAATAAACCCCAAGAGCTGCTGGAGGTTTGTCAAGCACAAAGCAGATTAACGCCGAAAACCAAAGTCTTTGTGTTCGTACACACATTCAGGTCCCCTAGAAACAACTAGATGCTAAAATTACAAAGCTATGATATATGACCCGCACTGGTTTAGCGCCTTTCTGAGTGAGAGGACTCCAAAGCGCTTTACACTACAGTGAATCACTCACGCACTCACGCTCATGAGCTACACTGTGATGGTGGCTGACCTGGGGCGCACTGACGAGGCGAGGCTGCCGTGTGCAGGTGCCACCAATACGTCCGACCACCAGGAAGGATGGGTGACGCGTGTTGCCCAATGACATGACTGCTACAGACTGAACGGGATTTGAATCTGTAACCGTCCAGTTACAAGGTGGGAATTCAACTCCTCTACCACCGTCGCCCCAGACTCATACACCGTTTTACGTTTTCATCACCAATCTTTTCTACGAAATATCCTCTCGGTTACTTTTGCGTCATTTCTCAAATGTTGCCAAGAGCAAAATTAAGCAGCTTCTACATTTTTCACAGACTTACATCATAAACAATTTTCTATAGGGAGGAGGAAGACAAAGAACAAGAAGAAGTAAAGTACTTTATATTTTTGGAACATTTTAGAGAAAGCTGAACACAAACTACTTTATAGTTTCTACTTTTTATGAACCTTTACTGATTTAAATATTATGTTAAAACTGAAAAGTAGGGAATCTCACTTATTTAGTGTAAAAAAGGTAAAAATCACCATCAAGCAAAACAAGTTTGAAATTTCCAATGTTCCTTTAGAGAAAGTTTAGTTTGTTTAAAATAAAATAAAAACAACCAGGATCAAAACTCTGATCCATGGCTGAAAGGAAATGCGTTTATTCTGCTGGTTTGTTGTTTCCAGCTGCCATTCCTTTCACCAAACAAAAACAGTGATTTCACAGGAACTAAAACAAAGAGGGCGTGTGAGGATAGGACTAATGATGAAGGCTTAAGGCAGAATTTACATGATCGAGGGATGTTAATGACATCCTGACCATCCAGACCAGACCGAACGCATCAAGCATGCCACTACACGTCTGCTTGTTTTACATTCAGCAGACAAAAGGAGAACGTGTCTAACCTGGCCTTGCGTTTGCGGACCCTGCGCTCCATCTCCGCCTCCTCGTAGTAATATTCGTTGTGGGAGTTGTCTCTCCTCCTGGCAGCGGCTGCTATCATGGCCCGGGATTGGCCCGTGGAGTTATTAGTGGTGTTTTCTACAAGACACGACATGCAGAAGGGCAGATTTAGAGGATCGCATGTCAGGCATAATGCCCTCATCTCTACCTCACAGGTAGAGAAAACTGATTTCAGGAAACTGTTAAAGACTCACCGTCCAGGGAGTAAACCTTGAATCCGGTCATCTTCTTGGACAGGATGGACTTGGGAAGGTTGAGGGTGGCAGGATTGTAGACAGGGAAGTCGCTGTAGTAACGATCCAACACCCAGACAGCTGCACGTTGGATGCTACAACACAGCGCCAGTTAGCTCAGATCAAACATCAGCTGCTGACAGACACACGCTCCGAGAAGAATTAAAGATTCCTTGTTAATTACAGCTAATTACAAGGAAACATTCAGATAAAGAATCATCGTAAGGAGGAGGCTCGTCCTCCAGGGGCTGAAGTCAGAGAGAAGACAAACAAACCAGCGCTGGTTAGGAACTTTAATCATAGGATGTTCTAAAGGGATTCACTCAGACTAAACAAGCGTGTGTGCAGAGACAGTTAGAATGTTTCTGCCGCATTCCTGCATAAACACACCAGAACATTTACTGGGAAGTCTTACAAAACACCGCTGGGGACGAAACCGTAACTTTCTCCCCAACAGTTTAAGATGGAGTAAGACATCAGAGCTCTAATGAAATAATTAAAAAATGATAAAATACTCATTAAACATGCATTATTTGTGCAGACAAGTCCTAGGATGATGACACAATTAGGATGGTGCAGCTTGTAATCATGTAAATAAAACAACTACAAATTATTTATTGGATATAACTGTTAGAACAAGACATGTATTATTATTATTATTATTATTATTATTAATAATAATAATGTAATTGCTTATATGTTGTATATAACATACCAAACTTGTCATTTAAATAAGAAAAAACAATTGTTTATGTTTAAAACTGCAGTAAAGTTACTGGATGGAGGCACATTTTCATATAAATATTTTAAAGGTTCATCTAAAAGGGTTAAAGTCCAGTCCAACTACACTCATGTAAACAGGGATGAATATTTCTATGACCCTCTAGGTACTAAAAGCAAATCTGCATGTAAAAAAGACTTGAGGTTATTTTTGCTTTGCCAAGAAAAACTTTGGACATGAGCCGACTTAGACCCAAAACACAGGCAGATGTTCAACTCTCACATCTGGATTTTGGAAAGGGATGTAACACATGACAGTTAGATTCTATTACTAAATAAAGTAGGTGGAAATGGATTTTAATGTAATGACTGTAGCAGCTCAGATGAGATTAGTGTTAAAACGAACCCTCTCCTTTAACTTTGATGGTCAGCTACACACCTGAGGTGGCCAATGTTGTAGAACTTGCTGGCTCCATCCGTGCTCCGGACCACCTTAAGGCAGAAGGCCGGCTGCAGGTGTCGGACCTCCAGCAGAACCAGAGCCAGGTACTGGATGAAGAGCAGGGCGTCCACCAGCGAGGCAGCGTACTCCACGATCCCCCTGTAGTCCCTCTCCCTGGGCTCCAGCACCCGCACGCCGTAGAACAACCAGTAAGACGCCACAAACAGGAACACCAGCACCATCAGCAGGCAACGGAAGACGAAGAAACGTGGGAAGGTGGCATGTGGAGGCCGGAGGAACAGCGCCCAAGAGGAGATGAGCAGTACCAGGAGCTTAAAGGCGAGGGACACGTAGAGGCCTTCGCAGGGCGTCCCGCAGGACTCGAGGGCATCACGCCACAGGACCTGCGGGAGGATGAGGAAGGCTAGAGGCGTGACCAGAGCGAAGAAACTCAGGCAGCCTCCGAGTGCCGGCCCGATGAAGCGCTTGCACTCCAATGGAGTGGTCTCCTCCAAATCCTTGGTGAGGCGAGTCAGGTCCTCGTTGGAGATGCTGTGCTCGGAGGTTCCAGTGACGACGGTCGTGGTTTCCCCCCAGTTATCATCCTGCAGGATGAAGATGAGAGTGGGGTTTATATTACTAAATAATAATAGCTTAATAAGGCCAATAACAAATATCTGAGCGCAAGTCCAACCCGTTCATCTCCTCGGGTCGACTCGGCATCCAGGAGCGGTTCTCCAGGCGTCTGTATGGTGACTGATTTGTCTCCACGGCTGCTGCTGTCTCGACTCTTCGAGCGGTGGCGATCCCTCCGGTCCCTAAAGACACACGGACACATACGCACGCGCACACACACACACACACACACACACACACACACACACACACACACACACACACACACACACACACACACACACACACACACACACACACACGGTAAAAAGGAAAATAGAAGATAAGACACGATCCCATGTGTGGTATTCTTCCAGAATTTTAATTGTAAGTTTAAAAACAAACAGGTCCAACTCTCCTAATGCTTTCAGCTCAGTAACTTCATTAGAAATAAATATATGCAAAATATTTATAATCACATTCATCTGAGTCTGTATTCTTTACAGTGTGCTTTGATGTTTGGAGCTGCAGGATCTGAACGTATAAAAATGTGCCAACAAAAAAAACAGAAATCTTTAAAATAATGAGTTTTTATATTTTTACATGAAACCTGACAAATAAACTATTTCCATAAGAATGGTCCGAAGTTCCATGCACACTCCTAAACCGTTCAGAAAATCGTTTCCAGAAGAGTTGAAGTCATCCTACAGATTAGTAATGGGTCGTCCCAAAGCCTTTGGTACAACAGTGAGATTTAGAACATGAAAATCTGTGAAATAATCCATTCTAGAGGGAAAATGACATTTGTCTTAATGTTCTCTTCTTAATCCTGCATGATTCAGGTGCACTTTCCAAGATCTTACTGCCTGTTTTCATCAAAACATTTCATCTGAACTTAACCAAACAGAACTAAACGAACATCCTCCAGCTCTTCAACACCAAAAAACAAACCCACCGCTGTTTTCTCTCACCTGTGCTTGCGGGAGCTCCGCGAGTGGGACGACTTGTAGGAGTAGCCCGAGTACTGTGACTCGTTGTCCATGTCTCGGGTCAGCGGCGAGTGGGCTTTACGAGCCCCGCCTCCTCCTCCCGCCGTGCCGTGCTGATCGCCCACTTCCCTCAGCTGGCTCTTGCGGTCAGAGATGGACTTGGTGGAGAGAGCCAGAGGCAGCTTGAGCAGGTCAACCTTGCTCCTGAGGGAATCTATCTTGGAGGCCGAGGAGGGTGAACGGGGGATGAGAAGGGGGAGGTGGGAGAGAGGGGGAGGCGACGGAGGAGAAGAGGGATGGGAGAGGATGATGGGTAGGAGTGTCGCTGCAGGGCAGAGATGAAGTCGTTGAGATCTGAAAGGAAAAAGAGAAAAAACTGGAACTTTGTGCTTCAGATGGTGTTTTATGTCACATGGAAACACTCCTAATATTCTCAGATTACCTGCATGCTACTTTATTTCTCAGATATACTTTTTATTTAATGAAAATGGGTATTTAACAATGTACGCAGCTAAATGTTGGACATGCTTCCAGATTTTAAGAGCATAGATTAAATTGTTTTTTTAAGCATGACTGGATTTTGAAGGAAACTTGGGAATGAGATCAGGTTTCAGGAGAAGAGGTGACTCTTTAGGAGTTTGTGTTTATGGTCCACTGAGGCAGCTGGAGGTCCCAGCTGGACAGACGGAGTGCTGTGCTCCATCCACACCCACACCCATTAACCCCTCAAACGCAGGCTTTTAGTTTCACTGCGCGTCTTTAGATCATGTCTTCCAGGTCTCGGCTGAGGTTAATCATTACACGACTGTATCTCCTCTCTGAGAAGCCATCCGTGGCTTCGGTTAGCTGTGGCACAATGGCGGCCATACTGGATTACGTTGTTGACACTAAACTTGTTTGCCCTCTCTCAGCCTCGCACCAGCTCACATTCCCTCCCTCACACCCCGTGTCCCCTGGGAAACGAGGCCTCTCCGCTGCCATGGCGATGAAAAAGGGTGTTCAGACGGAAGAAGCAGAGATTGGCGGTGGACGGTTGCAGTGGAAACCTGACCTCACGCCGGCCTCTGCCAGATCGTTGTCCACGCCGGAGGAAGATCTCCAAAATAAAAAGTGCTGGCATGACGGATGTCGGGCTGTCAAACGCTGGTTAACGGATAATGAGTGGGCGTGGCTCACCGGCTTTGATTGGCGCTCTGTGGGAAACGGAGGGTCATTAGCTTCCATCACTCTCACTCAAGGTTTAGTTTGCTGTGGTTTCTACGCTCCATCAGCACCACTCAGTTTAAAATCAACTTTTACTCAAACCCAGACAATCAGTGGGATTTCTCCAAGTTTACAAATGTTTCTTTAGACTGGAAAACTTCAGCAGAGCCCTGCAGGGATGTGAAAAAACCTCAAGCACATCTCCATTCCAAACCACAACACTCAGATGACTAACAGCCTGCCGCCCCAGCAGAATCAGACCACGCTTTTAAGAGAAAATATGACAACTCTGCAGCAGAAAATTAGCCCTCTGCTAATTATGTCAAACATCAGGCAGAAATAAACTCATTAAGGAGCATCTAGGTCCAATCTCTGCTCTGATTTGGGGCGTCTCGTGCAGAGAGGCAGCCAAAGTGGAGATTTTGTTTCTCAGCCAGGGCATATGCATGTTAGTGATTGGTGGAGAGGACTCCCGACATTCCCAGACAAGCTGCACATCTTCAGGCACGCTACAAGTTAAACGTAAACAGTATTTCATTCCAATAGTTGAATCTTGGCCTTCTAGAGGCTCAAACATTCCCCGGAATAACAATGTTGTCGGGCATGGATGTTTATCCTGCAGCCTCATAAAAACAACAGTTAAGTAATAATTACAACCGTGATTCAAATCAGAGACGTTTGTGTTTATTGGCTGCATCTGTGATTTCTGCATGAGAGCATTTCTGTTTGCATGTCAACACAAATACCAGCATGACTGTTAACATTAGAGGCTTCAAAGACTGCAACAGTAAATTAGGTCCAAGAGGTGTCAGTCTGAAGGTCCGTTTAGGACTTTATGTAAAGTTTTTCAGTCAGAAGTACAAAATCATAAATGCTTTGCCTCAAGAAAACTGAGTTTGTTCAGGAATTTCAGGGATCAGGGCTTTTCCAAAGGCAGCTGCGCCGAGGATCTCCATCATCCAGGACGAAGCTCGGAGGAGAGCATCTTCATCTCAGCATCAAAAGGAGTCGGCTGAGGCGGCCCAGTGCTGCTGCAGAATCCAGTTTAAATGAATATTATCTTTCCTGAGTAACATCTGCATAATGAATGCTTAAAAGACCTTATTTTCGACTGGAATCCCTTTTTATTTTCCAGTTTTGCATATTTAATACTTGGTAAGTTATTTGATTTGTTTGATTAACTTTAATTAGATATCTGGTTGGAACACTGAGCGGTTCACACAATTCAAAATTAACAGTTGGTGAAATTCAGTGTTCAAACCCTAAATGAACTTAAGAAATTTTGTTTATCAACTCATGTTTTCAGTGATGTTTTAGCATGTAAATAAGGTGGAAAACGTCTAGATGTCGGCCATAAAAACTGGCCACAAAAATCGTCTGACCACAGCCTCTACCTATCGAGATCGGCAACGGAAAAACCCAGATCGGTCAACCTCTAATCAAAACACAGCGTGAATAACGACCAATCAGAAACTCTGGTTTTATTTTTGCACCACAATGCACTATTGCCAAGCAGCAATTAAAAAAGAACACATGTCCATGAACTCACCCCCGCTAAGCACCAAGTCATGTGAATTTTATGCTCTGTTTAATATAATTCTGAGATAATAAACAAAAACCAGCGCCTGCAGGTCTGTGTAGACAAAAAAACCAGAATCAGAGCTGATGACGGACCACAGCACAATAGCCCAGAACACAGTCATCACGTGTAAATACATCCTGAGCAGCACACGCTGAATCTTCTGCTCCTGCAGCCTGACAGAAAGCAGGTTTATTAGATTACCTGAACTGGTCTGGATGCTCTCAGAAGGCAACTCACAGCATGAATAGAGTGTTTTCTGCAGAGCAATGATCAGATCTAAATATAGCTGTGTGCAGTCTGCACTAACAAGTTATTTCTCCTTGCAGAAACAGATACATGCATGTCATTTTTGAGCCATCAGTGGATTCTCGAGGCCATTTTGGTTTGGAAAAGCCCTCCAGACAAAATCTGGCAAATAATTGACTTAACCGTGTCTTGTGTGCTCCTAATTTTACTTAAAATGGCAAACATTTCCCAGAAGTACTCCAAATATAGCACAGAATTAGACACAAATTATCAATATTTGCAGCTTAAACAAGATCATTAGAGTATTAAATGGCACAATGCTTCAAAGTAATGAATAATAATAATACAAGAAGCATATAGGTAGTTGTGCTACTGGTTGAAATCTGATTTCCTGATGTTTTTACCCAAAATATGTCATAATAGTAGCTGATAGACAAATCCTCACAAATCTAGTTCATATCCTGTCTCATCTCAGGGCAACTTCCAATCATGACGCCCTCATTTAATGCAGATGGGAGCAGCAGAAGGTCTGTCTGTGTAACCAGATCTCGTCTCAAGCTTACCTGCTCTGAAATTAAACAAAAGCCAGACTCAACAAAAGGAACTGGTCTGAAATAACAGAACGTATTTCACGTTTGATGTAAATTCGAGTTGCTGTGAGTTAATTTTCAAACCTGCAGCTCAGCGAGTCATCGATGCTGTTGGACTGTGACCCTGGCTCTTCTGAATGAGCCCCGGCTCACCTGGTCTGTCTGCCTCTAAACCTGCGAGTGAGAATGACACATTACTCGATCTACAGAAGGTGTGGTCCGCTGGTGAGAGGGATAATGTTTCCTATTCATCTGTCTGTCCTTTAGCCTGCCTGAAAGGCTGCACCAGCAGGACTCTTAGTTTGCTCGAGTTTAATCTCTAGTCTGAGATTAAACCCATCCTCCTGGTGACACGACTGCAACGCTGTTTGATGATACCATGTGCATCATCAAACAGCAGCAAAATCATGTTTCCTAAAGCTAAAGTTGTTCAAACTACAGAACTAACTGGAATACATGAGCTAAACCTCTCAGGTCTACTCCTTTAAATTAATCCAAGAACAAAATACACACGTCTCATAAATCAAACGACCAACTTTATACGAACAGGAAGCACCAACAAATTAACAACATAAATGTCTTCACTTTATTTTGTTTCCATGATCGTGTTTTAAAAATCACAGAAACGTGAAATTTTTAAGATTGGAGCCATTTGGTTGCACTCAACCTAGCCGTTAGCTCATCAGTCATGAGGGATGTAGAGAAGGTTTCTCTAAACAGAGGCTGTTCAAGAAGTAAAAGGTAAAAATTATTTCACTTTCACACAAAATCACTTCTAAATATCCCGTTAAGGGATCTTGGTCACCTCTGACGATTAGTGTTTAACATAATAAAAAGCTGTTAATCAAGCTTAAATGGCTTTGAGGCGATATATTTCCTTATTCATTCTAGTAGCTAGTTTACATCTTTAATGCTGTTTTTAACCTTTTATTCATCTTATTCAGCTCTTTATTCATCAGAGCTACTTCTACTTTAAGTTATTATTTATCTTGATCATGATTCTGAAAGTAATCCTAATAAAACCCCTTTAAACCTTCAAATCATGTGTTATTTTTGTGTCTCCAGCCTTGTGGCGTTCATTTCCAGCAGATGCGTGTCTTTTTAATTGCCTCCGATTCCCCAAAAGACAAAAAAGAAATCAAGCTGTCATCAAATGTTTAAAGCTGCTGGCTGCATGACAGCAGCTGTCAGAGAGCGACAGCAAGCCAGGACATCTCTGAAACAACCATCTCCGCTTCGCCGGCCAACTGTGAAAATAAGCGTGCACACACCCTGACTCCAACAGGGGAAGAGGCTCATCAGTGCATCAGCCCCCCCCCCCCCCCCAACACACACACACACACACACTATGAGCAAACTTCAGCTGGTGTGTGTGTGTGTGTGTGTGTGTGTGTGTGACTGGGTTTGTGAGCTTTAATCAACAGGGTCTTCCTCTTTTAGTTATCAAATCCAAGCGAAGTAACAGAAGCAGGAAGTGTTTCAAAGAGATGGGCCTGGTTTGGTTTCACAACCAACAGCTGTTATTGATTTATTTCTTATTTCTAATAAATTAGAAGCTTCTTGTCTTCAAAAGCCAAAATATTTTATATTTTACCACAAAAGTCTGACTTTAGAACCATTTCCTACCTCGGAACAATAAAAGCTCTCCACAACAGTTTCTCAACCCTAATATTTAATTATTAATCTACTGAATAGTTTAAGAAAAGAAACAATAATTCATTAAAAAAATATTTAAACAATATATTGTGTTAAATATCAACAATAACCGGTCCTACTTTGTATTTAATCCTTCATTATTCATTCCTGAAATCCCAGAAATTTTTGTATAAGTATTAAATATTTCAGACTAAACCCGATTCTAAATGATTACGTCTCTTATAGACAACACGCCTTATTTCTAATCTCATTAATGAAGCAAACACACAGAAAAATAAATTTTACTTCACTTCCATAATTAAGTTATATTTTTATTTCTCTGTGATTTTGTTGAGTGAGTTAAACGGTTTTAGGACCATATTTCTGTTCATCAGTGTAATTTAGATGTTTGTGTTATATAATTGATTTTCACTCACTGACCCATGTTTGACACAATAAATAAACTATATGCCAAAACCTATAATGAGAAGTATTTTTATAGAAATGCAAAACGATGTGATTAGATTATTTAAAGTTTAACTGCCGCTTTTTAGAAATGACTATAAAGCCACTTTATTTAGACATTAAATTTGAGTTTTGCAACTTAATTTTTATAACCCAGGACTGGTTTTATCAGGACGATGGAGCTGAAAAACTCTACTTTAAAGATTTATATCCTAATTGATGTATTTTGGACAAACTTCTTTCATGTTTTATTAAGGAAAGGGAACAGTTAACTAAAGTTTAATCCTGGATTATGACACATCAGAAACATTTATACCTTAAGTTTTGTTAATAAACAGTTAAAGTTGCTTTTACTGTCCTTGCTGGCCTCTCTCTGTTTGATTATTAAAATAATCTAAGTGACACCATGTGGTGGTTTATAAACACCTTTCGTAACCTGGTTGTTTTTTCTTGAAAACAAAAAGCAGAATGTGTTTTTTATCATGAAATGAAGAATAAACAGCAGGTATTTATGTCTGGCTCACTGGAGCTGAGGTAATCTGGGCCTGTTTCCCTGATGCAGCACCATTATCCTGTTACAGTTTGGGTTTCACACTTAAAAGCAAAGATAAATTAAAGGTTTCTGGGCACATGCATAGCTGAACTGTTGGAACACAGATCCAGAGTCAAGCTGCATGAATAATTCTCAGGACTTACTGCGTGGATCAACAGCTTTAGGGGGGAACATAAAGAGTTGTCCGACCTACAAAATCAAAAAGGAGGGTGTAGTAGAGACGCAGGACAATAGGAGACACCCAGGGCCCACTGGAAGCGTCCTGGAGCCAAATGATCCAAATACTCGGTTCCGTTCTTCCCTGATTCTCACTCCAGAACGGGACGCGCTCACTAAAATGAATGGAGGCTGTGAAAATTCAAACCCTTCGGCCTAGAACCCGAACCGGACGCACGCTCGTTCCCTCCAGGCGCGTCTGCCTGTCGCTCTAATAAAAACCGACGCGCGTTATTTAAGCGTAAAATCGGTCCAGAAACACTACGTGGCCTGCCTGCGGACAATAGCCCCGACTAGAGTCCCGAACGTCCCTGTGGTTTAGAAAAAAGAAAAGGCGACCATCGCGTCCTGTAGACCATTGTTTGGATCAGAAACCGGAGATCTCACCGGAGCGCCACCGAAACCTCCGCGTTCTCACCGCACACATGTGCCAAGATACAGCCGAACACATTCACGCAGAAAGATGGACTACTTACTTATTCCAGATCGTCCATTCAGGTATTTTCTCACTTTCCACTTTCTCTCCAATGCCGTAGCACCGTTTGCCCCGCCTCCGCCCCGGACTGGCCCCTCCCACGTTACCCCTCACCCTCAACACCACCCTCCGGGAGGTGGGGGGGGGGGGGGGGGGGGGACGGTCATGCTACTTCAGCCCAATTTAGACATTACTGCGTAAATGTAAGAAAGATACATCTTACTTAATATATTAAATAAAACTGTCCATCCCAAAGATCAGAATTCCAAGGATCTATGAGATATCGTTCATAGATGTGTGTGTGTGTGTGTGTGTGTGTGTGTGTGTGTGTGTGTGTGTGTGTGTGTGTGAATATTTGTTTATATTTCTGTAGTTTTGCAGATTTGGTCTTAACTAAACTGAATATTACATCTAATAACATGAAATAACACGAAAAGCATTTCATAAAATGGTGTGTAATAAATCTTGTTGTTTTTCATTTAATAAACTTAATATTGTAAATTTTTGAGCTAATCTCTTTCATTTTATCTTTGCTCCTGTTGAGGCTTTTTTCATCCAAGGCAGAGCAAAGAAGCAAAAATCAGTCATGAATTGTTTTTCAATCCATAATTAAATCTAGCAGATCATTTTCCATACTTTTATAAATACGTCTTTTCTACCTTTACAAAATCGTGTTTATATATTTTTAATAAAGTATTTCCTACTAGCATGCTTTTACCCCTCTCATATTTATATTTTGTCAGGAAAACTCAATGAGATACATCTTATTTCATTTAATAACATCCATTCATGCAAACACAAGCTTCGTGATTTCTCTTAATAATTTTAACCTCTGCTGCTTTCTGCATGTGGAGCTGCAGACCTGTCTTAAGCTGAAAGTTACATTTTAGATTTTAGAATTAAACTGCCACCATTTGTGACCGACCAATTTATAATTAGACCACTAAAATGTAAAATTTTGTCCTCAGAATTAAGATTTATGTATTTTTCTTTGATGTTGCTCATTTGAAGTCTCTCCAGGAAAACTCCAGAAACAAATGTCTGACATTCAAGCCTTTTCGGTGCTGGCTGGTGTCCAAGAGCCTATTTTATGTATTCTGCTAAAACCTTCCTTAAGCTCACATTTCTACACCATGTTTAATTACACTGAGAAATGCAAATAAATTTGAATGCAAGGAGAGTGAAATCATTAGAAAGTTCGCATTTAAAATTTACCTTTTAGACGTTAGAAACATTAGTCCAAAGAAACAAATAAAATAAAATAGAAAGGTTCAATTGATGGCAGGCAAAATGTATTTATTTTTTAATCAATGGATTTCTAAAACATTTTCTTACAAAGTGAAAAAGAAAAATGGGAAGTGCACAGAGAATGGAAACCTTTTCATTGTTTTCATTCTACATTTTCACTCCTTTATGACTGTTTTTGGTAACTGATAAATACGAAAAGTGTTTGTCAGTCATATCAGAGTTTTCAAAACTTTACTTCCCCCATCAAACATCAAAATAAAGGTAAATCAAAATGAATCAACCACCACATGTAGAAATTCATTGAGTTAAATTTATTATCCTTCCTGAACACATAAAATTAAAATTTGGGTGTTGCAAAAGCTTTAATCTTAATTGATCATTGGCTCAGAAAGTGGTTTCTTATCATCGGAATTGATAATTTAACTACATTTACAAAGAAGACAGCTACAGTATTGCACATACCATTGCAATCCCCATTCTGAAGTCCAAACACACGCATAAATGTCTCACACACACATTCAGTCTTACACACACTCAAGATAATGCTCGCTGTTCAGTGCCTATCCCACGACACAGTAAACAAAACATTCTTTGACGATAAAAGGGGAAGAACAAAAACCTAAATAAAATGAAATATGAACATCTTTTTGTTTCCACTGGCAGGGCCCGCTGGTGCCTGACCAGTGTTTTCTGACCCTGGTGAGTCCAGATCCATCGAGTCCGCTCCAGTCTTCACGTCTCACCTGAAATGAGTCCATGAGCGCACAAAAAACAAACAAAAAAAAAAAAGAAACTCAGATCCGCTGCCGAGGCAAAACCCGTCTGTGTACCTTCACGTTTTATAGGATGTCCGGTTGGGATAGAAGTGGTAGTAGCAGTGTTTGTTGTAGTAGTACTATAGCAGTGGTCGCAGGCTTGAGATCGTGCCATGTGGGTCAGTAGGTGGCGTTGGTGGGTTCCCTTCCTGAGTTGAAGAGTATGTCTGCCTTCGAGCTGATGAAGAACGTCAGGAGGAGGGAGGTGAGCAGCACGCCGACACCCACGCCAAGGGTCAACATCTGGAAACGGACAGAAAACGGTAAATATGGATGATGTTAGGAATTATTCAAAATATAGCAATAATGTACTCATCAGTTTGATAAGATATAATTTTTTTTATAATTGCGCAGCATCAACGAGCTTCTGTGGTCATCTGCAGCCTGGTGAATTTCTCCCATTACAGAAGAGATGGATGTCATCAGAGGAAAACTGTTTAACCAGCTTTCAGATTTGTTGGGTGAGTTTTGTATTAAATATTCACACACAAGCAGATTAATTATTCTTTGGAGAATAAAAAAAACAGAAAAGCCTGTGCAGAAGACTAAAACCGACCAATCAGCACTTTGCTTCAAACATGTTCTAAGATATGAACGACCTGCAAAAAAAATCTGTTTAACAAGAATATTTTAATTTCATAGCAAATAAATCAGCGCCAAATTTCAGTGATGAGTCTTTTTTACTGTTCCGTTTCTGAATCTGCAACTAATAAAAATGACTTATTTATTATTTTATTCTATAAATGAATCACAGTTTATGGATGCAGTAATTCTCAGAACAACGTGGAAACCTGCATAAAAACTTTAGATCTGTGTTAAAATAAGACCAAGAGAGCAAAACCAAAAGCACGCTTTTCAACGGAGACGCTTCAAAGTCATTCAAACTCAAACTGGTGAGAGAGCAGAGGTGAATTATTACAGAAAGATGAGCGTGTGGAGACTTGTTCGCTTGTTCAACAAACACAATACAGTATCTGTCAAAACTCCAACTGCTGTTTAAAAAGTCATAAAACTTTTTCCAAACAAAAAGAGATTCAACATTATTGTTTCTAACAGTTTGCTCTGGATTTACAAGACAATAATCAGCTGAACCTTCTACACGTTTCATCTTCCAGGATAAATGTACCTCCAGGTCGTGACTGGCCACCAGGAATATGCGCCCCTTGATTGATTTCCACCTGGACTCCGTCCACGTTGAGTAATTACTGGAGGTGTACTCCTCGAGCTCGAAAGCCGGAGAGACTGCTTTAGTAGTTCGACAGGTGGAGCGAACGCAGAAACCTTCCCGCTCCGTGCCATTAGGGGGCGCTGCACCTTGAGCCCACACATAGTAGTACAACTAAAGGCAGAAGAGTCAGAATGTTACTTCCTTTATTTGGATCCGACACCAAATTTAAAATCTTTTTAATGAGCAACCTCAGACCATCAGTGGCAGAATTAATCCAAAACAAACTGAGGCAAAACTGAGAATAAAACCTAATGATGAGCTCCAAAAAACAGTTTTTAAGTTACTGAGCTCATGTTGTGTTTGTCTCCTTTAGCTGAAGAATGTGCAGTTTTAAGAAGAGAAACAGCTAAAATTGCAAATGTGAAGTACAAACCAAGAGAGAGGTTGTTAAAGTCAATGGTTGAGAGCTTTCTTTGGAGTTTTTATTGCTTTTTTCTAGAATGATGTTGAAGCAACATGAATCTAATATACAGAAACATTTAAAGATCAGTCTTTTAGATAGTACGAAGAAGCGTTAACGAAGACACAACTTACTGATAGTTATTATTTTTGTTTTGTGTCGTCTGCCATCAGCCTAAATCTTCATTTCTGACTGCACTCGTTTCAGATCCAATTCCGCAAAGTCACTTTGATCTGATTGCTGAAATAACCTATTGACTAAGACCTTTAAAATGAGCACACATAAGCCTGTCTGTGGGCCTCACATGTTTGGTCTCCTTGTCGTCTTCATTCTCTTTCTGGTTGTTGCAGTTCTCCTGAGTGGTGTTGACAACGCTACCGGTCAGATTAGCCAACATGAACTGGACAAGAATGGTCGGTTCGCTCATCTGCTGATTCACGCCGATGTAGAAATTTGTGGTCGTGTTACCTGGGGAAAAAAACACACTTAAATTTAATGACACCTCATCTGTTTGCTCAACAAAACCTCTGCAGAGCATGACAGTAATAAAGTGAAAAGTAAACCTGGTGTCACTGGTTTTTATAATAGAACTAAAGTAAGCGTTAATTGAAATGAAAGATTTAGTAATTCTAATGAACTTACTGATTTGTTTTGAGTAACTGGAGGTGATGATCTGCTGGAACCAGGAATTATTGGGCATCACAAGGAAGCTGTAGAGCAGACGGCTCACCTGAGACAACACAGACAGGGTTACAACACTTTTATAAACAGGTCATTTAATGTACGATTTATCTTTAAAGCTCTTATTCACTGGAATCTGGTGTGGTCTCTAGTATATATGAATACTTTGTGAGTCGTTTTCTGTGGAAAAAAGCTCTGACGCTCCTGTTTCAAGGGAAACTGTTAGCAGGAGGAGAGGGGGATGGAAAATGGCAGGATTTGGGAATCTTACTTATTAAAGCTACAATAGCAAATCTGCAAATCAAGCTAGCTTAAAACAAGCCTCCGCCAATGACATGGCTTGGACCAAAAGCAACGATCGGATAACCTGGTTATAGGTCTTGCTGAACCACCACACTTCCCTGGGTCCTCCATTACGCACTCACAAATTTAGCACCAGAACACCATTGGTGAGAGAGGTTCTCTGCTCAATAACATCAGAGGAGAAACAGCCGGCTGCTACCACTGCAACTTTAGGACAAACTACCAGAGTCCCAGAGAGAAAAACACCATTTAAAGTCACAGACAACAAAAGATGTTTGGACCTAGAAAACAGCGACTGGTGTTTAGCTCCATCACCATCTGGTTATCCAGAGTTTATCTCTGTAGTTATGCTGCTAGAGGCTTAGACTGCTGGAGGACATACTGACCACTTTCCACACTCGACTACTTCCTTCTACAATTTGCTCTTTAACTGCATTATTTCCTGCTATTTCAGCTGTTAGCTTTTATTTTTTCTCTAAGTGTTTTTCTCCCCAGAAGAAGCTACAATGATGTTCTGCTGAGCTGTGGTGGCCTCATGGAGGGGTCCATCGTCTAGCACACTGCTGCTAACCATTTAAACATTCTCCCTCTCCTGATGATAACGTTTTACTTTCTTTGACATTGAATGTGCTACTACTAGTTTACCCGTTTAATTATAGATCCACTAGGATAAATACAATAAAGTTTATCTCTCGCCAAATAGAATATTTACTAAGAAATCACAACGTAACCATAGAAACACTACTTGGTATGTTGTGTGTGTGTGTGTCTGTGTGTGTGTGTGTGTGTGTGTGTGTGTGTGCGTGCGTGTGTGTGTGTGTGCGTGCATGCGTGTGTGTTCGGTCTTATCCATCCCCAGTGAGTCGTGGTGGATGGCTGCTTATACTGAACCAGGATCCTCTGGAGGTTTCCTCCAGTTAAAAGTGAGTTTTCCTCTCCACTGTCGCTGCATGCTTGCTTAGTATGAGGATTGCTGTAAAGTCACTGACACTAGTCAGTGACTTGATGCAATTTGCTGGGTTCCTTATATAGGAAACTTTTTTCTGATTGGCTTAATGAATTGACCTGTATTGGAATGTTTACCATGTGAAGTGCCTTGAGACGACTCTTGTCGTGATTTGGTGCTATATAAATAAACTTGAATTGAATTGAATCTCATTTCCTCTGGCAGTGTGGGTTTCTGGTCCCTGCAGGGATTAGATGAGCATTCCGCGACCGTGTTTGCATTTAAAAGCTAGCCTGTTTTGTAAATTTGCTATTGCAGCTTTAATAACTTGATTTATCCAACATTAAAACTCCTTGATATGTGTTCCTTTCCATTTCTATTTTTTCTTTCTTATTTATTACACAGCGTAGCAATTTTTTTTTTTTACCTTAATCTGGTGACAGTTTTGGCATCTCACAGTCGCCATCTTCAGAGCCTCACCGATGTTGACGGCCCTTACTGCCCACGGATAAACAGCGAAAGTGACACCGTCAACACCGGCTCTGAAGATGGCAACTGTGAGACGCCGAAACTGTCAGCAGGTTAAGGAAAAAAAAAATTTGCTACGCTGTGTAATAAAGAAAAACTGAAGGCAGCTTGTTCTGTAGAGTGAAATCAGTTTACATATTAATGGTCTTACCAGCAGCTCGTCAGCCTCGATGTTAAACCTGGTTCCATTTCCTCCAGCTTGAACAAACAGAGCTCGAGCCACCAAAGTCGCCACTTTAGCCAAGGACTTAAAAACAAACAAAAGTAAAAACAGAAAATCAACTTAGAGAAAACAAAAAGATATTTCTAAAGCTGTCCAATCGGGGTGCAGCAGTGGCAGTTGCCGAGGCAAAATCTCGGGCGTGGGAGGAGTTTGGTGAGGCCATGGAGAAAGACTATCGATCGGCTCCAAAGAGGTTCTGGCAAACTGTCCGGCGCCTCAGGAGAGGGAGGATCAGCACCGCCAAATCCGAGACCATGGTTCTCGACCGGAAAAGGGCGGCTTGCCAACTCTGGGTCGGGGGAGAGGTCCTACCTCAAGTGGAGGAGTTTAAGTATCTTAGGGTCTTGTTCACGAGTGAGGGTAGGAGGGATCGGGAGATCGACAAGCGGATTGGTTCAGCATCTGCAGTGATGCGAACACTGAGCCGATCTGTCGTGGTGAAGAGGGAGCTGAGCCAGAAAGCCAGGCTCTCGATTTACCGGTCGATCTACGTCCCAATCCTCACCTATGGTCATGAGCTTTAGGTAATGACCGAAAGAACGAGATCGAGGATACAAGCGGCCGAAATGAGTTTCCTCCGTAGGGTGGCCGGGCTCGGCCTTAGAGATAGGGTAAGGAGCTCGGACATTTGGGAGGGACTCGGAGTAGAACCGCTGCTCCTCCGGATCGAAAGGAGCCAGTTGAGGTGGTTTGGGCATCTGGTCAGGATGCCTCCTGGACGCCTCCCCGGGGAGGTGTTTCGGGCATGTCCTGATGGCAGGAGGCCCCCGGGTCGACCCAGGACACGTTGGAGAGGTTACATCTCCAATCTGGTCCGGGAACGCCTTGGGGTCCTGTCGGAGGAGCTGGTGGAGGTGGCCGGGGAGAGGACGGTCTGGAGCTCCCTAGTTGGGATGCTGCACCCGCGACCCGGACCCGAATAAGCGGAGGAAGATGACGACGACGAGAAAGGTTGAAACAAAAAGAGCTGAGATGGAGACAGGGTTGTACTGAGATACTTACTTCTCAGCATAGTAAAATTTTAGCATTTATGGTTAATTTAAGCAAAAAATCAGAATAGCCATAAAAGGGCATGTCATAAGCAAAGCCCTATAGAAAAGCCCCAAATAGGAGCACATTTAAGCATCAGTGCCTGTTTTGTTATGGTTTTACAACCAGTAGACTGAAATAACTTTAACAACACAATTGGAGACAACAAGTTAGCAACAATACCTTTGCAGCATCTGTAACAAAGTCCAGCTGCTCCTCTGGTGTTAGACCAGGAGGGTACGACACGTTCAGGTAGTCCGAGTTATCATACATGCTTTGGTAGTATCTGCAAACACAGCAGAGAATCTATTCAGCTTTAATAGAAATTACATTTGTGGGGTCTACATCTACTGAGGTAGTTTTAAAAATAACAACCTGTTGGTGAACGTGGACTGGTGGTTCTCTATGACGACACCGGGGATTGGTCGAGCTCGCAGGAAGCGCTGGAAGGAAGAAGGAGGCAGCGCCTGACTGGAACCAGGCTCCTCCACAGAGAAGTTTAAACTTTTGGCAGATGAGTTCAAGTTTTTGATGAGTTTTACCACCTGCAAAAGACCATTGAAGAGGTTTAAGGACAGGATGTTAGAGCTTCTCATTTTTGAGTCATTTTCTTAATTGAAAAAAAACACCATAAAGGTTTGTTTTGTTTTAAAAAACGCTGACATAAGTTCACACTGTTTGTGACTCACGATGATTCAATGGAGCAGAAAGAAAACACAAACCTCTTCATCGATGCTGCTGTTCCTCCTAGAGACAGGATCAGAGTGGAGCCACAGCTTCGTGTCACCATGGAGACCCACCTCGAGTAAGAAAATACAGCATAGGTGTAAGGCATGGGCTTTGAGACATTACAAGGAGTAAGGGTTGGTGTCTGCACATACCTGCCCAACCTCCAACACGGAGTGAACGTTATCCAGATCTATGATAGACTGGTTTCGCTCCATATCAAACACCATTCTAGAACTTCCGATGTAGTCAAACGTTTCCTGTGGTTCAAGTTTGAAAAGAAATAATAGAAACGTCTAAACTTCACCAGATAGGCGTGGTTTTACAGGAAGTGCAGACTGAACTGACCCCGTGGAAGAAGGTGTACATGATGGTTGTGTTGAGCTGAGCCTCCTGAGTGGCATTACGGAGAGCGTGGGCCACCGCCAGCAGGGTGACGAGTCCCGAGGCCGTGCTCTCTGCTCCTGGTGCGATGTCGAAGAAAAACGACCTGCTGTCCAGCTGCAGATACAACAGGAAACAAACAAATCAGGAATAAAAATAAGGAACAATCCCATTAAAGTGAACGGGTTATTTTCTCCGCAGATCACTGATCAATTTAAACCAGGAGTGCAGTACTTGAGTCCTGACACGAGTCAGCTTAAGGGACTTGATAAGGGACACCAATGACTTCTACCTGGACTCTATCACTAAGGACTCAAGAGAAGATCACTAAAAACAAGGATATGACACAATTGTATTAAACTTGAATCTTTATTGCGATAAAGGAAAATCAATAATGTTTAGATCAAATAGTAACACGTAACAGGTGGAAGACTCAAAGCTGCTTTGAATGATCATTCAAATATTAAAGAAACTGTTTCGTACAAAATCCACTTTTTGGAGCTCAATATATTAATATTATTTTCTCAAGAAAACACCCCCAAACCGGTTTTTGGCTTCTGCCTCGGCTGCAGATCCTCCGTGGAGTTCTGCTAAGCTATTGGCTGGATGCAGTGCCCCTCCCCATCCAGGCAGTGTCTTAGCTGCACACCCCTCCCTTGGACTGTAAACACTTACGACCACTCTTTCAGAGTTGCAAAGAGGAAATTTTATCTCCGCATTTGCTGAAGAGATGATTTCTACAGTCTGCACTTTTGATCATTTCTAGAATGCAAAAATGTGTCTTTGGCTGCAAGAGGAGCAGGAATTTGTTCAGTCTTCTTAGAAAGGAATTAATAGAAATGTTTGGATTTAATCTTCAGGAGGTGTGAAAAACCGGGCCAGATTCTTACCGTGATTTCACAGTCTGCTTGTTAAATCTCCACCAGTACCAGAGTTGGTTTTCAGGTGGATTACTTCTTCAAAGCGGCGCCATTTTTACGTTAAAACCATCCCATGGATAGGCCAGAGGGGTGAATAAAACCAAAATGCTAACTGCTAGCCACGAACTCTGACTGATATGCACAACTAGTCATTTGGGGTTTTTTCCCATTCTTTGACTTAAAATAAAAGAAGTAAAGAAAACTGATTTCTTGGAAAGAGAACTACTGGCTGGATCAAAGCTTTTGTAACTTAAATGTGGCTTTTAATCATGTGACTACACATACTTCCTCAGATGCGCATGAGCACCAGTCTGCCTAAGGTCACACGTGTTTTGCTGTTGTAAACTATCAACAAAGACCTTTTTTTCCCGTTTAGCTTGAGACTCACCCTGGCTGCTGCGATGATCACACTCTCCCCCGGCTTGTGGCCCTTCTCTGTGACGTTCAGAGGTTTGCTGAGCGCCCAAATGTTAACATCGCCCAGAGGGTCGCACACAAACTCTATAAGAAGACAAAGGTTTGACCGGTTTTAAAGCAGTTTTATTAAACATTAAATAATAAAACAAATATTGAGCTGAATGTGTGAAAAGCTGCTGATTTCATTTTTGCTTATGTAAATACCCGGGTTAAGACTCATGGCGATGCTGTTTCTCCTCATGCAGGTGGCTGTGTCGGTGACAGCAGACATGTGGGAGAATAGCTGCATGGCACACAGAGGATACCGAGGCTTGCTGCCGTTTACAGGGCGGTTATGGTCCATGTAACACTGTAAACAGAGAAAACCACAGGTGAAATCCAGCCACGTGTGGGCTTATGTTTATAGAAACAGACAGCTGTTCTGGTAAAAATGTTGTGTCATTTCATCACTTTCAGGCAGTAGCTGACCCGGAGGACCCAAAAAGTGTTGGTTTATAGTTTAATTCTTCTGTACTCGCTTCTTATCAAAAACACACAAATACGCATATTTAAAACGTGTGACTAAAAGACTCTTGAAAATAAACAAAAGTTTTTCATGTGTTACTTTAAAATTACAACTAGAAGCACATCAACAGCCACAGAGAACATGTAATAGTGATCTGAAACTGAAATCTGAGATAAAACAAAAGTGAAAATTCACTCAGCAGCTTTGTGTTTACATCAGTCCGCAAAAAAAAACATATCCTTAAGGCTCACATTTAAACACGAGGCCTTTGTAACTCACACAGGAATAGAGAAAACACAGTAAAACTATTTAGTGCCAAATGCCATCATTCTAGAACACAACATGCCACATAACGTACATAAAGGGTCGGGGAAAAGTTAGTCAAGTTTGTTTTCGTTTTCTACTCTCAAACGCAGACACGAGGAGAAAACAAGTTATTAAGAAAAATGGGATTAGAAGATGAAATCGCAGCTAGAACGTTTACCTGCCGCATGGCCTGTGTGTCATTGTCGTCTTTAAGAGAGAAGATGGGGAAGTCAAACTCCTCGTAAGACAAGTTGTTGCCCAGCGGGTTCCACACAGTGGCGTTGCAGTGGGCCAGGCTCGGGCTGTACTTCTCTGTATACACACCTAGGGCAGAAGAAAAACACTAGAAAATGATTAGAGGGATTTCAGAAGTCTTACAGATATGAGTCTGATTACGAATTAAATTCTGTGGCCATTTCTTTACATTTCACAATTAAACATCAGTAAAAATATCAACTTTGAAACAAGTTTCTTGACTTAAATTATTCAGTTTCAGTTTAGTGGCTGTTTTACTACCACTAGCTTATTTCTGTAAATATTCAGCAGTAAGTCCCCACCCACCCGAGTTCTCATTGGGACAGCTGGCATGTGGAGAGAAGCCCGCTGATGGATTTGTGTTTGGCGCCACAACAACAACACCAGCTACCCGGTTGGAGCTGCTCTTCAGCTTCATCATGACAGATCTGAAGTGGCGATGAGGCAGAGGAAACAATTCAGACAAAGTACAAGTCAGGAAACAAGTTTAGACCCTTTAAAATGTTGTTCAAGTTTTATTATCTAGGACTAATGAAGCACGTTAGAAATCAAAGTAACCTACAATCGCTTTTACCTGCACTTTGATGTTTTTTTAAATAGAATAGGATGCCTTTTTTGTCACTTTACACAACTACAGTGAGATTAGAAGCAGCTCTTTCAGTGCAGTAGAACTAGGGGTTAGCCGATATATTGAGCCAATATCTACAGTTTGTTATTCATTGGCCGATATTTGTCTTTAATGAAGCCGATTTAATATCAGGCACATCAACGGGCAGCCCGATGCTGTTGCAGATTTAATTTAAATGCATTTTAAAGCTTACTAATAACATGTCATGTGCATTACAAATACTCTAAATTAACTTTATTTAGGTATCTGACTTTAACACTGAGAGGTGCACAAAGTTAAGATTTAACAGTTAGTTTAATTCAAAGTTCAAAAACGGATTCAGCTTCAATAATTTTGTGCATCAACAGATATTATTATTAGTGACATTTTAGCATGAAAATAAAGTGGAAAACGTCTAGATGGCGGCCATGAAAATCGGCCCACCCGGCTGACCATGTCCCCTACATATCGGCATCGGTATCTGCATTAGAACAACTAATATCGGGCGACTTCTAAGTCTAACACATAACATACAATAAATAAACAAGCGGTGCAAACGAATACATAACTGTTATGAGAGCAAAGAAAATGTGATTCATTTATTAGAACCAGTCTGAGTGCTGGATTGTACCTGGTAAATAATGTGGACTCCAGCATGACCATGTAAGGAGGGTCTGGACCAGAACTCAGCACCCAATCCAGGTTTTCCTCTGACTCCAGCAAATGGAGCACTCCCACATCACCTGACAAAGATGCTGAAATCCCAAGGATGGAATTGAATATTAGTACATGTGACACAAGTGAAAATACTCCAGGAGCGTGTGTATCTATGGGCACTTTTGTCACTAGAAAGGTATAAAAATAATAATAACTGTAGCAGAAAATGCTTTTGTAACCAAAGAGTAAAATAGATAAAATCAAAAAAATGTTTGATAAGCAAATATAGTTTGTGTCAATCCTTCCCTCTTGTTATAGTTGCACAAATGTTGATTTTAAAATGAATTGTCTGGATCAACTAAATTTAAAATACTTCATACCAGGGCTGCACAATATATGGTAAATATATCGTTATCGCGATATCAGCAAGCACAATATGCATATCGCAAAGAACAGATAAATATCGCAATGAATGTCAGCCCAAATGTTTGCTACACATAATGCATTCTGTCAATCAAACGGAAGCATGATGTTATTTTAACAAATCAAATAAAGCTCTTCACCCATTTGACCAAATGGGTGGGTTCTCATAGGTTAGATGCCCGGCCCCGAGGCGGACGGCACTTCAATTTGATGGTTAGCAAACACCTGAGTTAGCTTAGTTCTGCTCTTTTTGCTGATTCTGCTTTTCCCGGGACCCACTGATTGCCTTTTCATGTTTGTTTTCTTTTTCCCTTTCCTCACATCTTTTGCTTTTCTCGTTTTAATGATTTTTTTTGAATTTCTTTGTTTTTGTTCATGAGTTTTTATTCATCTCAAGTAATATCGTCATCGCAATATTAATCATTGTTATCGAATATTGTAGGTTTTTCTTATATCGTGCAGCCCTACTTCACACTAGATTGCCCCTTGCAAGAGTCTAAGCAAAGTCACATCGTGTGACAAGAGTCAAGTGCTGCCCTGAGAACTGAGTCGGGTTGCACAACAAATCTGACCCTTGGCCATTAGTTTAACCTCAAAATTTAATTTTGTAATTAACGACAATAAATAAGTAATAAATACTAATGAAAGCAGTAGAAAGGTCTCTAACATGCAAGCTGTGCTCTGATAAACGACACCTTCCAAAATCCTAGAACCCACTAGTCATTCACCCATTCATGCACACTTTCACATACTGTTTCTGTATTTCACACAATTGAATTAAGCCTAAAAGTACTACAATATTCAGTGTTTACCACTGTACAAGTAGTTTAAATACCAATTTATGTCAAGAGATTATTTGGATACATTTAGACCTATGAATTACGAGCCAAATAATCATCTAAAAGAAATGTAAAGAAATTCTTATTAAAAAACACAAGAACACTCAGAAAAATACAATATTAGATACCGAGAATACACTCAGAACTTAAAACTTGATCATCTTTTTTGAACATTTCCGGAGAAAAGCATTACCAGGCTACACAGTCCTTAATGGATGCTGAGTTTTGAGTTTCCTATTTTAAAAAAAATCTCCTTGTTCCATTTTACAAATGCTACTGCAGTACCCGGTGGGTTGTGTTCAGACAGCTCTGGGGAATTGCTTAATTATTGTGCAATACTCACACTGGCAGCCTATTTGATGAGTTGCATTAAGCAGTCGCACACATGGGATATTGTCTTTAAAGTCCACATAAATCTTGTCTCCCACTGAATTACAACTGACACCTGTAACAAACAAACAAACAAACAAAAAGATGGTCATTGGCATGCCGTACATTCTCAGAAGATCAGAAGTTTTTGTGACAGTGGTCTAAATGTAATACTATAAAAATGACTTTGATTTAGTTTTGTTTTAGTCACTTAATCCCAGGATTAATCCCAGGATGTGGTAGCTCCGGGGAAATCACGAGCTGTCACGCTGAAGCTCCTCTGGAAAAGGCAGACTAGTCTCTGGCTAACATAAAAGTCAACACCAAACCTTAATTAAAGAGATACTTCGGCATTCTGTACCTCCAAGTAAATAAAACCGTGTCACATCAAGTCCCAGCCATCAAAGTAACTGATAATCTAGCATGAAAGAATATAAAATCTAAATTAAAAGACAACCGGGGTAACTGATGTTAGCGCTAACTAGCCTAGCATCCGGCTAACTGGAGCACAAAGAAGTCCATCCAGATAACCGCTACAAACACAAACACACTTCTGTCTGCGGTAAATATGAAGCAACGCCATTTCAACTCTATTGTAGTTCTACTTACCAACAATAAACAGGTAAAATAATAAATAAACTATCCATTTACTCGACACCAAATCCATCTTCCTGGTTTGAGAAGCAGAAAAACACAACAGGAAGTGAAGATCCGGGAAACATCCGTGTTCTGCTCTCCAGAAAGTAGTCAAAATTGGACTAAAATTAAAAAAACTAGCCCCAAAATCTATAAATATACATATTTGTTTTTGTATTTCCGACTGTCGCATAAAGACAACAGTGTTTAAGATATTTATTTAGTTATGGAACTTTTCCTTAAAGCTATGCAAGAAAGGTGAACTTTGCTCACCTTATATTATGGAGCACTCACTTTTGGTGAAAATCACTACTGCTATCCCACATTTGAATTATGTAAAACGTCTTCCTTTAGCTTCTTTTACCACAAAAAACAATGAGACACAATACACACCACAAACTAAAGCCCACAGAAACATGGAAACACACTGCACTTCTACTCATTTAACTTTAATTAGTTTTTTCCCCACATACAGGAAGAACTGACGTACATTTGTTTATTTTTAGTCATTCAACACAAAGTGAAGAGTGAAGTTTTAGGAACAAGCAGACAGATATAATGTAGCAGCCACAAGAAAATAAACTAATAGGATACATTTCAGGTCTTGAGGAACAGGCTGACATTATTGAAGTTACATCACTGTGCACAAACATCTCAGCTTCAAATTTTAATCATTATATAATGGTTTCTTTATAGAGGAGGGTTGGATGTGGGCTGCAGACCATCTGGTAGTCTTAGCGGAACTGGAGAGGACTCACACGCAGACCGATCACATCCTTACCAATCTCAGTCACCTAGAAAGGAAGAGAGATTAAAAGTTAGATTATTCAAAAAGTGAAACAAGACCAAAAATCAAGCCCGTTAAATTTTTCTGAAATTTTTTGTACATTTTTCCATCTTACCTGTGTGACTCTGCAGATCTGGCCTTTGTAAGTGGGGCAGTAGCCAGCTCCAGACAGTGGGCACTTCTCAATAGGACGTCCACGGTAGAGTGGAACAAAGGAGGCAGCGCACAGATCAAATGGATTGTGGGGGTCATAGTTCAGTTGGTGGGTGTCCGTCAGGGTCTTCTCACAAGCCCCCAAGATTTTGCGGGTCTACATACCAGGAAGATGTTTATCAAAGTCAGTGCGTGACATTAGAAAGCAACGCCTACCATTCAAATAACCAAAACTATCGATAATGTTACAACCTGCTGTGCAACATCTGGCTTCGGCCCAAGCTCCAGAAGGCGCCGTGCAAATCCTGCAGCCGTTTTGAAGTTGCGAAGTTTGAAGAAAAGGTTGAGGGCTGTACGCAACACCAGCACCATGTGGACGGGCTGTAGATTGCAGTGGGTGAAATAGGCAGCCATCTGCAAAGAAAACACAGAGAATAAAATAAATAAGGAGTCGCAAGAGTATTTGTAATTTAAATAAACAGTCCGTCAGTTATGGTCATGTCTTTACTTCACAAATCCTCTTCTGCTGCTCCAATGTTTCCTTTGGCAGCTTCTTCCTCTCAATCTCCATAGTCAGGCCCACTATGTACTCTCTGCATATTGTAATGAGCTGCTGAGCCTGAAACACATGCAAGAAAAAGGCCAGAAGTGTTTAGAAATCTTTAAAAAAGGACCTTATCTGAAAGTCATAGGTTATTTTTCTAACACAGCTTTTGTTTTTTTGACATCCGATTAAAAAAATCAAAGTCAGAGGATGCTTGTTGCTTACCTCTGCAATTTCCTGCTTGTTATCAACCACCAGCAGAGGAACAGAAAGCAAGATGGCTCTGAAGCGCTCAACAGCGTCCTCAAACCGCCCAGACGTGGTCAGCTGGTAGCACTGCTGCAGGCGGGCAATCAGATCAGAGAGGCGCAGCCCCACAGCAGGCAGGCCTTGTTTTGCTCCACAGTCCTTTAAAAAAATAAACACAAATGGGTCAAGAAAATACAGAGAACTTCTGAAATACCCGACATACACAACAAATGTGCAAAACTAGTAGCTTTACCTTCCAGTTCCTTTGGGGATAACCACGCAGACAAGGTAGTGAAGGCAGCCCCAGGAAGCAGGTGCGTCCTCTGGAAAACGTCTGCATGAACAGCGACTTGTAGGGGGCAAAGTTTACAACTCCAACCTGATCGTGAAGAAGCTGTGGTGGGGCAAAAAAGAATATACCAAATTCAGTGACCAAAGTGAACCCTCAAGCTAGTGCAACACATTAAAATAAGCAGCATCAGGGAGTGAACTCGAAGGGGAAAAGGCAAGGGAACATACTCTCAAAGCGGTTTCAAAGGAGCCAGCCAAGATGTGGTCCACTGGCAGCTGGGAGTTGTTGCACCACATCTGGGTTGGACTCATGCCCTTGGTAGGTGGCACGAAGAAGCCATCTTCAGTTCCTCCACCTGTTCCAACTGGCACGTCCTGTTGGTTTGAAGCAAAATCATTTGCATGTAAAAATTCAATACTATCCACCAGTTACTGCCCGAAGACCACTCTTAGGTCAACTTTAGAATAATTTATGACATTTCTCTTCTCACCAACTCTGGAGGAAGTTCAACATCTTCATCAATATCCCAACCTCCTCCTTCCTCTTTCCCAATTCCTTCATCTCCTAATCCATCCTGGGCATCAGTGAAGCCATCTGAGAAGGATGGGGGAAATAATAATTACATTTTTTTCATTGGAGCCATTTTGTCCTAAAATTTAATTTACATTTTTTTTAATTTACCTTCGTCCATAGTGAGCTCAGCATCGTCTCCCCAGCCCTCGGCTCCAGCGGTGTCCATATCCAGATCTGCAGCCATCTGAACTGCCTTACCTACAACCACCAGCAGAAAAAAAAAAAATTCATCTCACTTTTACACAAATTAACTTTCATTAGTTTATGCAATTAATAATTACTGTCCTCCTGTTTCTCTGCTCTAAAACTCAAAATTCACATTTGTCTTTGTGCTCGACTGCAGAATTAAAAGGACAAATTATATCTTCAAAACTTTATCTTAAAGCACAGTATTTATATGTGCATCTACAGTCTTCCATCCAGACTGATGGCTCACCCTTTGCAGCAATGGCTCCCTCAAAGAAGCCCTTAGAAACCGTGAGCAGAGGCCAGTTGGTGTCCAGAGGGTTGATGGGTGGAGGAGGCTGCAGCAGCTGTGCATTAGGATCTACCTCTGGCACCTACCAGACACAATATAAACCATAATATGTACAATTTCATTTGTAATATACAATAAATTGATTTATTGTCAAATAATGTGGATTGAATTAAGTATATTTTGTTTAAAACAAACAAAAGAATGACAGGGAAACGACAGATTCACATGTTTTACCAACACACCGTTTCTTTCTCTGGGTCAAACGTCTCCTTTAGAGCCTCTGCCTCCTCATCCAGCCCATGTGTGGCTGCAGTCAGGTAAGCCAGAGACTCTGAACAAAGAAAATGGGAAAAATTCACAAACTGGCTTCTTTTTTTGTTTGTTTACAAAACAAAAGAGCAGAATAGTAAATGATTTAACCATTATAGTGCTCTCAAAGATAAAAACGGTAAAACTTTGGACAATTGCACTCAACTGCATATTAATTCAATATCTGATGTATTACGAGAAAAGTATCCTCAAAAATAGTTTTAAAGTTGGAAACAATGTCCCATGCATGAGAATTATTTTAGAGCGGGTGATCTGTGGGTCACCTGGACGTGCTATGATTGCTGTTTCAAGTGCAACTGTATTTTATCTTTTACTCCTATAAATGTAATTTGATTACTTATGATCAGGTATACTGTCTGTTATAGAATATATCTGTTATCAGAAAGGATAACCCTAACATAGATATCATGACCTTGTTGTAAAGATTAGTCACTCTGTTAGATTTCCTAAGCTTTAAAGTACAGGATTTTTCTTTGATTCACATTCCAAACCCCTTCTGTTAAGTAGAGCCACAGAAGTACAGGATATACAGTAAAAAAGAGAAATCCAAGTCAAAATGTGACAACTGGACTCACTCTGTCCACAGTTCTTCAGGATGCGGACCCTCTCGCTGACATCGCCCAGGTAAAGAGCTGCCTGGTAGTGGCCGCTCATGTCCTTTCTGATCTCAGCTACACACCACGAACACACAGGTAGATGTACACATTTAGTTTTACACAAACTGACAGAAAGACCATATTGATAAAACAATTTCCTGATTTCTCACCTATTTTCATCATCTTGCGCAGCTTGGCCAAGTTACCCGTGATGAGGTAGAGGAAGGTGAGCTTGTCAAAGTTCTTGGTTCTCTGGTAGCACATTTCCACAACCTGGTGGTGTCCCTGCAGCAGTGCTGCCTCACCCAGACGCTCCCAGCAGCTGCGCTCATCCAGGGCCTTGGCTGCCTCCAGTGCCACCTGGAAGTGTGAAGAGATGTTATCAAATTTGAGGTTTGTCCTGCAAGATGATAGCCTGCAATTAAAAAATCTCCACCTATTTTTGATCAGCTTACAACACACGACCACCCTCTCAACTGTAACCATTAATTAAAGTGCAGCAACGTTTAAAGCCTAATTAGAGCCCTTAGCTCACCTCGATGTTTCCACATTCCAGAGCCAAGCTGAAACGTGTCTTCTCATCTTTGACAAAGTGCAGCGCAACCTCAGGGTAGCCCTTCTTCTGCAGGTAGGCAATGATGGACTGGCCCACCAGCTTGGCATTACGCACCATGTGAAGCACCTGGAAGGACCGCCGTCAGGAGGATAAATCAGTCAAAGCAAAAACACGAAGGTGGATTTAAAACAAACATTTAGAACAAACCTCATCATATTTGCGATTGACCAGAGCCAGTTTGAAGCGGTACTCAGTCGGGTCGATGGTGAGCACACGGGGCCTGCATTCTCTGTCCAGGCAGTAAACACTGTTTCCTCTCACACGGGTCACGTAGATGGGCAGATCCAGGGTCCTGATGATGCCGTGGTCACTACAGAGTCATAAACAGGGCGCTATAATATTCATTTTCAAATGCACACAGTAACGTGCTCAAAAAACAACTTAACTTGTATAATAAAAGACTCCCATCTAAAAAAAAAGTCTCCATGTGGAAAATCTGTGCACACTAGCAGTTAGCTTCACTACCTTCTTTCTCACCATCTTTTAGCTCCAACACTTCACATGTTCAGGTTTCTTGATTTTCTGACATTTGTAAGACATCTGGGCTGCATCCAGAACTAGACGACCTACCCAGAAGTGAGGGCATATTTGATGTGGTTGGAGGTGGTGTAAATGAAGACCCCACTCTCATCCCAGGCTCCGCTCTTCACTCGGATGTTTTCGTGGATGTTGCAGAGACTATCTAGCTTACGGTTGCAAATCATTATAGCTGAAGGGAGAAAGATGAAGAAAAGACTTTGATGTGTCTGAAAATAAATTTTACAGAGCATCAACTTACATTTTTAGGCTAAATGTGCAACAATAAAGGGTGAAATCTTATTTCCTAATGTTATTTTCTGTTACTCTACACAAATGCCTGACTGAACTAAACCTGCACCATTCCTCTCATCAACCCACCGTGTTTAGCCAGCAGAGCCACGTGGCTGGTGTCAGAGCTCCACACCACATATTTGACCTTAGCGATCTTCACAGTGGCCAGCGAACGTTTCTGCTGCACGTCGAACAGCGTGACGCCATCAGCATCCCGCAGCAGCAGCGAACCCGTTCCTGCGTAGAATATCTCCTCGCAGCTCGGCACCTGGACTTTCTTCACTATTTCATTCTTCAGGTTTTTGATCAGAAGCTGTGAAGGAGAAACAAATGGTATTTTAATTTAGTGCCTTTTTAATTCTTCATAAAGAACACCATTGTTTGCAAGTGAACTTACAGAGTGCATGCGATCGAGAACAGCAAACCGGTTTCTTGCCACCCAGACAGCCGTCAGACCAGAAGATCGTTTCCCCTCAGGTGCTGGGAATAAAAAATAAATTCTCCCACTTTAAATGACCAAACGATGCATCTAATTATTTGGATAAAAAATAAAAACAAATTGAGAAATTAAAAAGGTCTAACATGTCCTCTATCATGAATCGTCTTTACCATCAGGGTTCTGAGAGTCACTTTCTTTGGGAATCGAGTACAAGTCGTAAGTACTGTTCTCCAGGTTGGTGGCCCTCTGCAGGAAAAACAAAGAATTTGGAGAAAAAAAAATAAAAAAAATAATAATAAAACAATTATGGGCAACAAACGTTATCAGTGAGGGTTTTTATACTTACAGTACAGAGCAGGACAGCGTTCTCGGCAGGGTTGTAAGACATGCTGAACACCGGGAACTTAGAACCACTAGAAGAGAAAATTAATAAAAGAAATTTGGTGCAATTTTACTGTTTCAGTCCACATTAATGGGCAATAACAGTACAGTAGTTGAAACTACAAGTCTAAATCATTTGTATTCATCATCACTGTTCATTCAGCCTTGTCTAATGAAGTCTAAGAATAAACTTGCAGAGGTGAATTTCTTCACATCTGCATTTAGGACATTTTTGCTGCAAACTTTGTGGTAAAAGATGATCAACAAGACATCTTTCATTGTTTTGCTGTAAATAATAAAAAGCTATTGAGATCCATAAATTAGTCAAGAGGTAGGAGGGGAGACCAAGTGATCAAACCTCTTGTTGCTCACTGAAGAAGCTGTACTTTAACCTCCAACTACCAACCTGCGGAGCTGCATGACAGCAGTGTCTTTGCTGCTGTTGAAGTCCAGCTGACGGAGGAAGCGATCCTTGACGTAGTACAGCATGTTGCCGTGTACAGCGTACGCAGGGCGCTCCCGCTCCAGCTTGAATACAATCATACCACTATCATGACCTAAAAATAATAAAGGACAATAATCAAATTTAAAAAAATAATCACTTTTTAAATTTGCTAATTATTTCCTTTAGCTGAGTAACACATTGTTTTTATTACAGTCAAATACAATTGTAGTAACTGGAATCATTCTTTTAAGTTCAAATAGTAAAACCTCACCAACAGCGTAAACCGCCCATCTATAGATTAATGTTGGGGTCGACACTTACCTGCTGCAAACAGGTTGAGGTTTGGGTGAGCCCCCAGGACCCAGAAGCGATCATGATCACGGCGAAAGGTTTGCACTCCGGTCCTTTTGGACATGTCCCAGACTCGGATGCTCTTGTCCTCAGAGTTGGACAGAATGAGCTCCTGACGTGGGTGGAAAACTGCACAGGACACATTGTTGTAGTGACCACGGCAAGTATCGAGCTCCCATGCTTTGGACTCTGGACAAAACAGGAAAAGATGAGATTAGTAAAACATATAAATGACATAATCTGCAAAGCGTGACATTTTAGTTCAATGCCGATTGGTTCAAAGCTAATATGAGCCAGACAGGCGAGTGTGTAAATAACGTAAATTGAACGTAAAATGTTGGCATAATAGCCTCCGCCAGACATGTTTGAATATTTAAACATTGCTGCAGCAACTAGCTGCAGAGCAAAACGTGGAGCAGCTGATTTATTATGTGCCTGTCTTACCGTTCATCCTCCAGATCTTCACCTGTCTGTCATCAGCTCCCGACACGATGAGAGGCATGCTGGGATGGAAGGCAGCCCAGTTGACCCCACGATCATGACCCTGGCCACAGACGCACAAACTCAAGTCCAACAAATGCTTAAATATCTCCGCACACATTCAGCACCGAAGCTAAAGGCTGTTCTCTTTGGTGCTCTCAAATTACAAGCATGAGAGCAAGGAATTATATTTTTAATTTATGCAAACACTGAGAAAGTCAGGCTTTGAGAAAGATGCCAGTTTTGTTGAATATTTTAGCCAAAACTATCAAGAACAGCAATAGCAGAATGAATAAGTTAAAAAATGGAAGCTTCCTTTGAAAACTGAGCTACGAGTTCAAAACCTGCCAGGCACAAAAAATAAAGGACATTTTCCTTTGCTAAGCTGTTTAAAAATGTATTCACTAGATTGAGACGTAAGTCTTAAGAATACTAAATAAGACAAATCAAGTTTGCTGCTCACCTCAAGGACATGCTTCACAACAGCATCCGAGGCGCCAAATAGGTCAACCCCAGTGATGCCGCGCACTTCCGTCTCCACGGCGCCAGGAGACAGGTTCTTCTTCCTCAGACCTGGAACCATCAATTAGAGGGTCGCGTGCAAGGAAGGAAAGCCATGTTCATGTTATACAGAGCACAACCCCAGCAAAGAGGAGGAGGAAGAACACAAAACAAAACATCATTCCACATGATCAAACATGGGGTCAAATCATGTAAAACAAAAGAACAAATTCAGAGTAAAAATAGGACTGTTGGACTACTGAACACACACACATGGGGTTGAAACACACAAACACAACCTTCGTTTCCTCATTAAGATGAATCTGGAAACAATCACCACAGTAGCAGCGCCAGAAGAAATGACTGATTCAACTGAACACCACAGTAGATTTACTGATCATCTCCAGAACTCAGACTAAATCAGGAAGGAAATTTGACAAGAAAACAGTATTGCATTCATGATTTCAGCCCATTGGAAGATTATGTGGTGAACAGATAGCTCAACAGCACTAAGAGGAAGGAAATAGCACTAGGAACCTATGTGCAGGCGTGGATGTTTCCAGGGAAAGCATGGGATATGGATGCCAGTGTGGACTTGGTTGATGGGAGTGGGGTGGGTGGTGGGAAGTGTTGAAAAGACGTGCTCTGATGGGGCGTTTGATGTCTGATTTGAGAACGAGTTTGTCTCCTTGAATGAGCATGCATGTGTCAGTCAAGGTAACTGAGCTGCATGCAAGGTTAATAGAAAATGGCAAGTTAGTTACAAACTAGCAGCAATGCTTGATAATATTATGGTGGCTACAGCCATGTTATAGACTCAGAAGGTGAGCCAATCATGCAAATAATGGGTATTATTTATATACACTTTATGTTTATGTTTATTTATTTAGCAGACACTTTTATCCAAAGCGACTTACAATTTATAACCTATAGGGCATGTTGTGATCTGTGGGGGAAACCGGAGTACCCGGAGGAAACCCACACATGCATGGGGAGAACATGCAACTCCACGCAGAAAGGCCGCAGGCGAGTTTTGAACCTGCAACCTTCGTGCTGCGAGGCAACAGTGCTAACAACTGCACCACTTTAGTAACTGTTCAGTTTTAAAAACGTATTGAACTTGAGAGACAAAACAACAGGGGCCTTCCACTGAATGTGATCTCTCAAAGCAAAATCAGCATGAAGACCTACCGAGGAGAATTGTTACAGCATGCAGTTTAGCATTTATAATGCAGCAATGGATGCAATCAAGCTCAATATATTAACATTATATAAAGCACAAATCCAGCACAAGTGAGGTCACAAGATAAATAAAAAAATGCACATTTTCCATGTTTAAAAATTAAAGAAGATGAGAGCAAAGAAATTGTTCAGTTTGGGTAAAAAAGAAAGAAAGAAGGAAACACATTAAAAGTGTTAAAACCATGCAGAGATACAGAAACACTTCTCCAATTTCACTGGACCATTTTACACTACACTAGATCTTCTCCAGGCCACCATGCAACGTTATCCCTAAATGCAACAACATAAATGTCTCGGTCCTGAAAGGAGAGGTGTTTCTGCAAAGAGCCCACAGAGAATTGTCATCTAGGAGCTGGAGAGAAAGAAGAGGTAAAGGACTTGTATTAGTCCTGTTTCTGCCTCCTTCCACTCTGTACTCAACCCCTTCACCCAAACCCAGCCCACTGTCCACTCTGGTCCTTTCATCCCAGGCCCTCACCGGAGATATCCCACACTCGCACGGTCTGGTCCAGACTGGCAGACACCACCAGGTCTTCAGATGGGTGGAACTGGGCACACATCACGTAGTGATTGTGTCCTGTGAGTACACTGGGTGACACAAAAAGGGAGGGGGAAAGAAAAATCTAACTTTAATGTTTGCAGGGCAGTGAAAGCTGCGAGTCAAAAACTAGAACAGACCTATAGTATAAAAATTCTAATGTCTGAAAAGAGCTCAAAAGCAATTTACTGAGTATTTGAACCCACACTCTTCCCTGTATCGAATCAAATAGCTAAACTATGACTCGACGATTAGTAAAATAATAAAGTGCACCAACTGTCTTACCATACACACGTCCTGGACTGCCAGTTCCAGATGCGGATTGTCTGATCATCAGAGGCACTCAGAATCCAGGGGTATTCCTACAGGTAAAGTGAGTATTTCATGAAAAAAGCCAACATACAACCATCGCAAACATAAAAAAACTTTATGAACCTTCACAAATTTAAGCAAGGTCATTTATTAAAACCCAAATGCAAAGCTGACTCAAGTTGTATCAATCTCTTTACTGTTGTTCTGTTTATGTTTATATTAAAAATCAGGATCAGAACTCTAGATACATATCCAAGGTGTTAAGAGACTTGAATAAAGCTATTAACAATACATCAAGTCACCAAAGATACATTTTAGGACAAAGTGTGACAGTCCAACTCACATGATGAAAGAATGTTGTTCTAATGTAGTCCAGGTGTCCGAGAAGAGTAAAGAGGCAGCGCCTCAGCTTGTAGTTCCACACCTGGTTCAAACAAATTCACTTATTAAACACAAAAACCTAAAAGGTGACAAAGTTTTAAGTATCACAAACACTAATCCACAATCTAACCCAAACATATTTCCTATAATTCCAGTTTTAATAGCAGTCTTACCTTGATTTTATAGTCATCTCCTCCAGACACAAACAGGGGCTGCTGTTTATGGAAATCAATTCCTCGGACGGGGCCTGCAGGTAAAACCACAATTATTTATTTATAAAAAGGTGCGTAATATCAACAAACACGATAGCCACGTCACCGTCTCACCGTCATGTTCATCAAATTTGTCGATCAGTGTGCACATCCGATAGTCCCACAGCTGGATCACACCGTTGTGCAAACTTGCAAGAACCCATGGCCTTTTGGGATGGAAACTCAGGCCTGAAATGTAACATATGCTGGATTAAATATAATAACACACTTTAAGAGCTGGGAACCCAAAATACGTTAACGATAGCTACCCCAAACATATGTGAGCGCAACCGCAAAATGCTAATCATACAGAAAATTGAACGTATGACGAATGTATGTAAATACTTAAATAACAACAGCAAAATATGTTTTAAAAACCATCTCCTTTTATAGAATACATTAATTGATCAGGTTCACGCCAGCTAGCGATGTTAGCTTATGTGCTATTAGTTGTTGGCAAACTCTTACCTTTGACTCGGGCCGACTTCGTTTCAAATTTAGTTAACATTCTCACCGTTTAAGCCCTTCAAACCCTAATATTAAAACTATGGTTAAAACAAAAGTAATCAATGAGAACAAAAAAAAAAATTCAGTGTAAATGACAGGGACGGCCTGGACTCCTTCGCCTGTTTAGCCGATTTCTTTTTCCTGACACGTAGTCCGCTTCTGTCTTCCGGTTATGGACAATAAAGTTTTCCTCTGACGCAGAAAGCTCCACGGCAGCGGCGAATAGAAATAGATCTCATCGAACTGCACCAACAGGCGATCTTGGGAAGTCCCAATGAAAATTGAGTTCAAACTTATAAAGCTGATATAATTCGGTTATATAAATGACAATGGTAAACCCGTTATTGCGAATTATAAATTTAAAAAAAAAAGAAAACTGAGATTTTTCATGAGTCCTCCCGTCCTCCCCGACTTTTTATGTAGATCCGACATTAGGCGCCAGAGAGCTTAACAGCGTCACCGCCATATTGGGTGGGTATAAATATATATATATGTCCGAAAATATATTTAATACATTTATGTTTGCTGGTTTTAGATCTATATTCTGTATTGATTTTTCACGTGGATATGTATATTGACAAATGTGGCCGTTATATTAACACATTTAATTACTGTTACTTTGAATGATAGCAAGACTGGATGCTTGGTGGGTGACTGCCTTGTAAATCATTTAATATATGCAGATGACCTAGTCCTCATGTCTCCCTATAGCGCAGGCCTGCAGCAGCTGCTCAGGGCATGTGCTAAGTATGGTGAGCAATTTGACATACTGTTTAAAGAGTGTGGTTATGATTGCTGCTACTAAAGGGGACCTGAAGCTTAATTTTCCATCTTTTAACTTAACAAATCAGGTCCTCAAAGTGGTAAGCAAAGTAAAATACTTGGGGCACATTTTAAGAAGTGACCTCTGTGATGACGAGGATATTAAGAGGCAATGCGGTAAGTTGTACATGCAGGCTAACACTCTGGCACGTAACTTTGGTATGTGCTCAGATCCTGTTAAAGTGTCCCTCTTTCGTTCCTTTTGTACTCCTTTCTATGCAGCCCACTTGTGGTGCAGCTATAGTAAGGTAGTAATGAAGAAGCTTCAAGTGGCTTATCAGGATGCTTTTAGAATCCTCATGAAGCTCCCTAGATGGACTTCGGCAAGTCATATGTTTGTTATAACATCCCTACTTTTCATGCGCTTCTGAGGCTCTTCATGTATAAATTCATCTGCCGACTGAGTTTGTCAGCTAACGCTGTTGTTAGAGCACTGTCATCTTTAACTTACAGTGACACGAGGTACTCCTCAGTCCTTTTTAAACATTGGAACAACTATATGGTTTTTAATTTGAATGTGTTTTTTACTTCTTTTTTTATTCTTGTTAAGGACATATCCCTTGTCTGAAATAAAGTTTGAATGAATGTATTATTATTAAGGATTTATTGGGGGTTCAATAGCAATGAGTGTCCAAATTGATGTGCAGTAAAGGAATGCACTAAAGCTAATGTGCTTGACTTGCCTTTCATCAATAAATACTAATGCAGGAGTATTCATTACAAATAATCCACAAGACAAAGAAAGTAATATATAATTTTTAATCATTATATTTACAAAACAAAAAGTGTCAATTATGGTTTATTTCATGTTTTTCAGTGCTGTGAGTTTGTGTTGGCCCAGGGCACTGATTAGCCAGAACCCTCACCTGCTGATGAAAACCTTTACAGCCCAACAAAGCTGCATTCAATGTGAATCTGATCTCTTTTTAGTGCATAGCTAAATCCTTTCACAGTACCCCTTTATTGTGCAGTTACTGACGGGTTGACGGTCATGCCACTTCTGGATTTCTCTCTATTGTAACTGAGGTGAACCTTTGCCCATGGGCCACAGCAGCTGATGAAAAGGGGTCACTGAAGTAAACAAACTCTAGCAACTGGAGCCAAAACATAAAAATGCTAACATCAGGCTGTTGATGCATATCCATTCAGAGCATCTGCTTGATTTACAGACATGTTTCTCTCCTTATGTCACACAACGAGATGTTTGCAACTTTGTATCTGACTTTTCTGAAAACAACAAATGGCTCTCTTAATGTACAGATGCTCACATTCTTTTGCTAAACTATGACACTAAAATCCCACTCTGGGGAGGGTTGTCTCTTCTTGCAGGAAGTCCACATCAATATAAACCATCACTGCACATTGCAAACACAGTGAATCACACAGGAAGCACTTTACAGTCAATGTAGTGACCACTGTAACCACAGCAAAGGCATCCAGGAATCAGGTCTGTCACTTCAACTTGGGAGTACGAGGAAAAACACATTAGGAATGGATCATGTTAAAAGGTGCTGGAAATCTTTCAGAAGACGTTCAATTCTGTTATTGTTTTAACAATTAGGGAATATGCACTTAGTTGTTTTCAGTTTGATTTCAGGTTAATAATTTCCTCACAACTGTAAGAATTTAAAGCTTCATTAAATACCAAAAATAATGAGAAACTTGTTGAAAATCTGGCATCAATTCAGTTCACATTATGTTAAAACTCTTTTATGAATTTCTTTACTGAGCAACAGCAGCCTCTTCAATTCATAAAACCCTTAAAATAACTTATAGTGTTTATGAAAAGGCACAGATCAAACCCGTGAGGTGGCTTCACACAGTTTACCAAGAGGCTGAAGAGTAAATAAAATCAACATGGGCGACAGAAGTGGTTGTGCCGCTTGGAGAATTTGTTGAATGCTGCTGACAAACTGTTGCAAAGTGACTCTCGTAAAAATAAAAGTGTGCCCAAAGTGTATTTTATTTTGGTTTGTGTGGCTCCTCGTTGTTTCTGCACGTCTTCGCCTCGAACAGTGTCTGGTCACACTCTTTCCTGACCTGTGCTTCACTCTGTCATCTCCCCTTGTTGTTACAAGACACAGAGAGGCCGTTGAGCTTCTGATGAAACACAACTCCACCTCATCACATGATGGAGCACTGCTCCGACGCCCCGGCTCCAGGAACTCCTGCGAGATTCAGGGACTCCATGTCAAAATTGAAGCCAGGAGGCTGAAATGGAAGGAGAAAGAGGCAACGTATGTTTTATCGTCTTCATAAAACACAGCTTAGGCTCATTAAATCCCACACAAACAGATGCATGTAACTTACTGCATCTCCTGCCAGCTCTTTGGGTGGCTGGCCTAATTCTTGAAGCTGTAAGGAAAAGAAATCTGATCAGTCATTTTTTTAAGATAATTCGTTTAAAGATTTCCACATTGGAGCTGCATAACCTTTTGCATCAGGTCCATGATGCTCTCAAATATTCTCTCTTTATTTTCCGTTACCCCTTCCTCTTTTTCAAACAGCTTACAGATCTGTCCCATGATCTGAGCCTGCTGCTCATAGCGATCGTAGTCTTGTGCATTGAGGCTCGGCTTGTTGGCTTCCAGCCACTCTGGGTACTGTGAAGGTGGCAAATGGCAATTTTAAGTATTTAACCAAAAACCACAGATGAACGTGTGTTTTTAAGATCAACCGACCTTTGTGGAGATCTCTTTAAGAGATGGATAAAGCACTTCTTTAGAGAGTAGATTCTGCATGATGGACTGCATGATGGGAAGGATGTTCCCGTCGTCACCTCCTCCATCACCACCTTCATCCAACCCCAGCCCTTCCAGAGCTTTCACCAGGTCGTCTCCAGCTAGTCCTGAAGACTGAAAAATGTACACTCTGACTGTAAATAATTTTCTATTTCCATCAAAGGACTTTAAAACCATTCTTCCATTCTGGCTTGAGACACCTGCAGGTTGTCTGCATTCTTGGCAAGGCCACGGAGAGTTTCTTTAAGACAAGAAGTGAACTCTTGCTGGGATTCAGTGTCGGTGCCTGTTGAAAATAAACAAACAGAATATGAAGAAGAAAAAGAAAGGAAGTGGAATGATAGTCTAAAAAATAAAATGATCTTACCAACTTTGCCTGCTGCCTCTGACAGTTTTTGGAAGTGTTGCAGCAGTTCTGGTTCCTCGTGGGCCAGTTCTGTCATGGCCTTCTCCCACTCTTCTCTGGCCTGTGAAGCCATGCCGCCCTCAAAGAGAGTCTCGAAAAGTTTGCTGTCCTCGAGCAGAGGAGGCTGCAAGAAGGAAACAAAGAAAAGTGCTGTTAAAATTCACAAGAAGTGTTAAGACTGGAATGAATGTAACTAAACCAAGATTTGTCTTAAAGTGATTGGCCAGAGGCAAAATTCCTTTGAATGGCATGCGTAAAGAAGTATTAAAACCTCAGATGAAAAAGGTTTTTGGATTTTCGCGGCTGGAATTTTAAGAAACTCTGATGTTTTTTACTGGCGCGGGAAAAACAGAAACTAACTTCCGGTCTAAGCCCTGTGCAGCTGGTGGCGTTTCACAAGGAGATCTGTTGAAACAGCTGTAGTAAACAACGCCTGACTCCGGTGTTTCTGCATTCGTGTTATAGCAGAGAACAATGTGTCATCAGTCAGATGTAGCTTCTGAAGCCTCTGCTAGTCGGTCAGATTTGGTTTTTTTTCTCTGGGATACGGCGACAAGAACGGATGTTGGATTACCAGAGACATTCAACCGAACTCCGTGCCCTGCACCAGGATATCTTAACCACAGGTGCAGACATGCTTTGGACCGTTCCACTCAGAAAATCCGTGACCCGATTGGGACACCGGGGGGATTCTGTTAGTCTTCGGAACCAAAATCTGTACAGTTTGTTAAAGTTTGTTAAATATTTCATGTCTGTGCTCCACCGGTAGCTTTCAGTTAAGTTCTCAGCTGATTAACTCCATCATATTGTCCCAATATAATTCAGTAATCTACAGATGAGTAAAATAACATGTTGCCAGCTTTACCGCTGTGTGTATTTACTGATAGAACATTGGAAAATATTTAACCGATTGCTTACCAGAATAAATCTTCCTGATGCTAACTCGCTAGATCGGATCGTTGTTCTCTAATCCAGGATGACACGGAGGATCTACCGGTCCTATAGGAGGATCTATTGTTGAAAAATGGGGATCATCTTTTAGATTATATCTGTGTGTGTGTGTGTGTGTGTGTGTGTGTGTGTGTGTGTGTGTGTGTGTGTGTGTGTGTGTGTGTGTGTGTGTGCGTGTGTGTGTGTGTGTGTGTGTGTGTGTGTGTGTGTGTGTGTCATAGCTTTCACAAATAACTTGTTTATTCTTTACCGGAGCTAACACGGATAGTGCTGCGGCAGTCATGCTAACGGGACTCGCCTGCTGGAGTCCAGAAGTACCGGTGTGGTTCTAAATGGATTTATAGATGTAGGTTATTATTTTAGATCAAACCTATGTTAGTTGAAAATACGTGTAGTACACGGACATATGGCTCATACTTTTAGCTGCAGCTGTAAACACAATTTTCTGTTGTAATTAAGAACACGATAGTAAACAAAATACAGTGATTTACCATGCTAGCAACAGCAGCTACCTAGTATGACGTGTGTGAGTGACGTGTGCAAAACACAGTTTTTCACTGCCTGGAGGAGAGAATTTAGATTTTCTGTAATGATTTATGACTAAATTCCTGAACAAAATGAAAAACTGAACCCAGTTCATATTTATATAGATGGTAAAGTGTAGTTATACTGTATTTCTACTATTTTAATGCTGAGTCTGGCTACTACCTTTAAACGTTGCTTTAAATGCATCAGACCAAGAGTTAACTAAACATTAAATCGTGTTTTTATCAGCTGAGAAGTCTTTCCAAACTAAAACCCATTCTGAATCGGCGCCACCTCGAGACAACCATTCACGCTTTCATCACCTCAAGGTTGGACTACTCCAATGCAATTCTGTTTGGCATTTCAAAAGCCGCATTATCTCGCCTTCAACTGATACAGAATGCGACAGCAAGGTTTCTGACTAATACGGGCCATCGGCAGCCTATCACTCCAATTTTAGCAAGACTTCACTTGCTTACTGTGCACTATCGTATACGTTCAAAAATTGTATTGTTTGTTTTTAAGGCGTTGAATGGCTTAGCACCAACTTACATATCTGAGTTACTCACTCCTTATCTCCGTTCAGGTGACCTACACCTACTACAGATTCCCCGTCTACGCTGCAAAACCTGTGGTGAACAAGCTTTTTCTGTCTGCGCTCCAAAACTCTGGAATGATCTCCTATTGAATATCAGACTCTCCCCCTCCATTGGGGTTTTTAAGTCTTGCTTAAAGATTTACTTTTATTCCCTTGCTTTTACTGCCTAGCTATTTTATCTAGGTTTATTTACACTATTCTTTTACCGATTTTATTGACTTCTCTTGTTCGGTTCTTTGTGCTATGTTCTAGCTGTTTTATTGTTTTACATTATTCTTTTAACCTTATATGTTTTTGCCCCTGTACAGCACTTTGGTCGCTCACATGCTGTTTTTAAATGTGCTCTATCAAATAAATGTAATGGAAACGAAGCTTGATTTACAGCTTTACAAACAAAAACTGAAAAGCAACAAAAAATTACCTATAGTAAACTTTCTACTTGAAAAGGGGGGGGAAAAGCAAATATTTCTGTTTGAGCTGAATGAATAAATACAAAACAACTTTCCTGAGAAAAATAATTAGCAGTAGAAACAGACCTTCTCTGCACCGCTGGTGGACGCAGCTGCAGGTTCAGGAGCAGACGGTTTATCAAAATCATCCAGTGCACCTGAAAAAAAAACCCATCAGAATTGAGTCAGTCGCTGTTATGTGGGTGAATTTATTTTCATCAAACACACGTGTCCACTTGGAATGCTACACAACTTTGATAATTGTGTAATAATTTGCTGTTGCGTTTAACCCTCTACAGCCCGACTTTTTAATTTTGGGGGAAAAAAATATTTCACCCAATTTAGGGGGAGCTTTGGGGTCCCTAAAAATACATCAGTAAATTAGTTTGACCCTCAACTCCCCAAAAAACAAATTTTGATTCATTGTTTCAAGGCAACATTGTGCAACAAGGGTCATAAAACACCAAGCTATTCTATGATCATTTTTTATTAACACAACCAGCATAAACAGACAAACAAACAACAAATGATCAATGCTAACATTTAATTGAACAGTAAAACACCAGAACACAGTACTACTAACATTTGATCAAGGTTCTCTTGGGGATTTGTTTTGTTCATTCAGTGTGAAATATCAGAAAGCAGTTGCGGTTGGGAGTGAAGCAAAGGTGCACATTGCATTTGCCGCACATTGCTTTTGGTGTACCATTGCACCCCGCATCGTCCCTTGTTCCCAGTCATGATCAGCCAGTGGGCTGTGTGATCCAGGCGAATATCTTGGACTGGAATGGGAGCTGTGCGCCTATTTTTCCTCTTCTCCTCATATGCTCCAGCAATGGACTGGCTAGGGCTTGCTGGGGTCACACTGAATTGCATACAAATTGGATTCTTCTACAGTAACTTCAAGAATATCTTTAGAGAAGAACTTTTTGAAGTATTGTAGGGAGGACAGTATGTCATCAACTTTTGGCAGCTGGCCCAGCCATTCTGGGTAGGCAATGATAGGGCTGTGTACTTTTCTCCATCTTGGAAGGCGAGGCACTTCAGCCTCACCTTCATCTGAATCTACCTCTTCCTCACAGTCACTGTCTTGTGGCTGATGTTCATCTGAAAAGAAAAAGAGAAACTTTAG